AAGGCCTGGTTTGAGGCTTTGGGTCCTTACTCTGGATCTGAGATCAAGAGAGGCCTGTGAGCCTTAGAGAAGGAGCTTATGGTTACCAGGGGAAATGATGGGGGGGAAGGTTAGTTAGGAAACTTGGGATGGACATGTACACACTGCTGTATTTAAAATGGATAACCAGCAAGGTTCTTCTTTATAGCACATGGAACTCTGCTCAATTTTATGTGGCAACCTGGATGGGATAGGGGTTTGGAAGAGAATGGATACATGTGCATGCATTGCTGAATCCTTTGCTATCCACCTGAAACTCACAACACTGTTAATTGGCTTTACCCCAAAACAAAACAAGAGGTTAAAAAAGAAAGACCTGTGAAAATCAGTCCCCAAATCTTCCCTCTCTGGGCCCTGGCTGGATGCTGCCCACCCTCTGTGAGGAGCATTGAGTGATGGTGGGGTTTGGAGGGGCTGTGTCCCCACCACTGCTGCTCTGGACCCTCACACTGAGCCCTTTGTGACCACAGAACCTCATGCATGCCAGGATCGGTGTCCAGGGACCAGCGTCTGAGCCTTGCTGTTAATGGGAGAATTAACATGCCAAAAAACAAACGCAGTTTTTCTCTTAAGAAAGAAAAATAGCATACATCTCAGCGTTAGTTGGTGTAAAGAAAAATCTGTAAGATTATAAATCACACTGTTGAAGTAACTGTATATGGGAAGTTGTGACGAAGATGCTGCCTTTGACCCAGCTGTAGTCAGTCGCCTCTGAGTCTGTGCTTGGGTGTGGCCTCAGAGACAGGCCCATGTGTAGCTAGATGTCAAGGAGGTTTAGCCAGACCCCCTCCCTCGATGTCTCATCACCCTTGTTACCTGTCAGACTCCTCACCCTCCACCATCCCCCGGGTAGTGTCTGGTCACCCTGATCTGCCCTGAGACCTCTTAGGTCAGTTTGGCCGGAACCACCCTTTTACCCTGATGTTTCCTCTTAGCGGTTGCTATCCAGTGACCCCCACCTCCATCTGCTTCTTTGCTATAAATTCCCACTTTTCCTGTGTCTTTGGAGTCCAGTTTCTCCCCTTCAGCGGTGGCCCCTACATCTGTCGTGATCATCCTAAATAACACCTTTTTTATTTTTGGCCATGCTGTGAAGCTCATGGGATCTGTGGAAGCACTGGGTCCTAACCACCAGACCACTAGGGAAGTCTCTGCCTTACTGTCTTCACAGGTGTCATGAATAATTATTTCTTTTAACAGAAAGAACAGCTATGATTTTCAGTCTCTAAATTATATGTCCTTACAATATTTGCATTTTTTACATAGATTGGTGTTTTTTTTTTTAAGTAGCTTTCTTGTGGTATAATAACACACCTGTGTAAGTGTACAATTTACTTAAGTTTTAGTGCTTTCACAGAGTTGTGCAGCCACCACCACAACCCAGTTTTAAAAAGTCTGTCGTTTCAGACAGTCCCACCCCTAAAAGTTCCCTCATGCTCATCCCCAGTCAGTCTTTACTCGCATCTCTATCTGCCACCCATCTGTCTGAATGGATTTGTCTTCCCTGGAAATTCTCAATACATGAAATTGAACAGTATATATGGCCTTTTGTGTCTGGCTTCTTTCACTGAATGATGTTTCTTTTCTCCCTCCCCTTTATTTATATTTTACTGGAATGTAATTGATTTACAATTTGTGTTTCAGGTGTACAGCCGAGTGATCCAGTTATACATATAGATATATTCACTCTTTTTTCAGATTCTTTTCCCATATAGGTTATCACAGAATATTGAGTAGAGTTCCTTGTGCTATGCAGTAGGTCCTTGTTGTTTATTTTATATACAGAAGTTTGTGTCTGCAAATGCCAAACTCCTGCTTTTTACCCTCCATCTCATTTTTCCCTTTGGCAGCCGTGTTTATTTTAGATATTTGTAAGTCTGTTTCTGTTTTGTATATGTTTATTTGTATCATTTTTAGAAAACTAGATTCCACACATGAGTGATATATGATACTCTCTTTCTATCCCTGGTTTACAGTATGACAATCTTTAACTAGAATCTGGTAATAGAAACTCCCACCACTGTTGTCAGGATGTCACCAATGGAACACATTTACACAAAGCTTATTTTTCTCCCTTGTATCATTCTCTCATGATTCAAAATCCCGGAGGACAGTCTAATCTGCCTGGCTTGAATCTCATGATGATAACCTGGCTGAAAGAAGGCGTGCATGCATGCTAGGCTGGACCGGGTCCCACCCTTCAATCAGGATGTTCACCAGGTGTTTCAGAATCACCCTGAAGGAATGTGGGCTATGGTCCAGGGTGAGTATTAGATGTTTGATATGCGTTGAATGGGCTTCCCTGGTTTTAGGTCCATCCATGTTGCTGCAAATGGCATTATTTCATTCTTTTTTATGGTTGAGTGGTCCTCCATTGTATGTATTATACCACATCTTCTTTATATCCATTTCTCTGTTGATGGATATTTAGGCTTTCTTCCATGTCTTGGCTATTGTAAACCATGCTGCAGTGACCACTGGGGTGGCTGTGTCTTTTCAGATTATGGTTTTCTCTGGATATATGCCTAGGAGTGGGCTTGCTGGTTCATATGGCAACTAGTTTTTTTTTAAGGAACCTCCAATACTGTTTTCTGTAGTTGTTGTACCAACTTAGATTCCCATCAGCAGTCTAAAAGGGTTTCCTTTTCTCCACAGCCCCTCTAGCATTTATTGTTTGTAGACTTTTTGATGATGACCAGTTTGCAGTGATACCTGAGTCTGGTTTTTATTTGGTTTTCTCTGATCATTAGTGATGTTGGACATCCTTTCATGTGCTTTTGGCCATCTGTATGTCATCTTTGGAGAAACGTGTATTTAGATCTCCTGCCATTTTTTGATTGGGTTGTTTGTTTTTCTGACATAGAGCTGCATAAGCTGTTTGTCTATTTTGGAGATTAATCCCTTATCACTTGTTTCATTTGCAAATATTTTCTCCCATTCTGTGAGTTGTATTTTTGTTAATTTGTGCTGTACAGTAAAGTGATTCAGTTATTCACACATATAATTCATTTTGGTTTATCACAGGATGTTGAATATAGTTCCTTGTGCTATAGGACCTTGCTGTTTATTCCTTCTATATTGCATCTGCTAATCCCAGACTCTCAGTTCTTAAATGGCATTTCTGAGATACAGGTGTGTTGCAGTGTTGACCGGTATCTTGTTACCTTTCCTGTTGGATAGTATTCCATTGTGTGAATCTACCACATTTTCTTTATCCACTTCTTAGTCAATGGACCGGTGGGTTGTTCGCAGGTTTGGGTTATTATGAACGATGCTGCCATGATCATTCATGTACAAGTCACTGTGTAGACAGGGTGTTACGTTATATTCAGAAGGAAAGAAAGAAGTGAAGGGCCAAAACAGATTCTCAGGCTGTTTCTGGAATGCATCCCCTTTTACGAGAATGGAGCTCAGGCACGGGAGGGGCTGGAATAAGGAGAGAACCAAGAGGGGCTCCTGAGTGGCCTGACCCTGACACGGCCCAGGAGGAACACGTCGGGGCGAGGGTTCCTCACCTCTGGGGCCCGCTTGTACTCCTGAAGTTCCCCCACAGCCTCAGGACACTCGTGACAACTTGTCTCCGCCCAGACATCCGTTCCCTCTGTTAAAGTCCTTTAGTTCAAAAGCAGCAAATGAAGAAAACACCAGCTGTTCCCCAGATGGTTCACTGGGGACTGTGGTGCTGGAGGAGGGGTGCAGCCTCACTGGCTGAGGTGTTGAGACTCAGCATGTCATGTGTTCAGGCAGGGTCCCTTCCCAGGACGCAAAGGTCACGCCCTGCTATCACAAAACCACATGAGAGAGGAGGATCTAGTTCTGCAGGCTGCGGAGAGATTTGGGGAAACAACTCGGGAAAAAGAGGCAAAAGGCAAATGTGAAACCAAGACAGGTGCCCTGTTTGTGGATAAGAGGTGAGAGGCAGACACAGTGCTGGGGATAGAGCTTAGTACACGTGGGTATAAAGAGTTTTAGAGAATTTGGGAAAATCTAGGGTAATGGGTATTGCTGATGACTGTATCATCCATCACACCTACAGCAGGCTCTCCACCCAAAGGGCTTATTGCAGCATGCTTCTCTGCTCCTTTTTGCCGACTTTCCATGGGACACAGTCTGAACCCCTCTCTCGACTTTTCCATGTTTTTTTTCGAAGGTCTTCCTGGGTTGAACCTGTCATTTCTAGATGTGTGACCACGTTCCTTAATTTTAACTCTGTTGCTTTCCTAAGTCCACCTCCATGACGGTAACATTGATAGCCTTGGTAAGAATCAGTCATAGAAGGTGGGCAGTTACAGTGCTGATTTGAAGAGGAGACGGAAGTGGGACAGTTCTGTGATGACCCAGTGTCACACAGTCATCAAGTGGTGGGGCCAGGTACAGACCCCTGACCTAGTGCAGTCCTGCGGGACAGGGGGCTCACGGTCAGTGATTCTGTTTAAAGAAATCATGGGATTGAAATGTGAACTATTGATAAGACCAAAGTGGGGGTGGTGGTAACAACTCATAGCAGGATATGTGGTCTTTGTTCAAAACCATGGATTTGGGGTTAGTTTATTGCAGTTGATTTATAGTGTTGTTTCAGTTTCAGGTCTATAGCAAGGTGATTAAGTTACACATACATTCTTTTTCAGATTCTTTTCCCTTGGGCCCTGGATTTTAGAACATAAAAGCTGGTGAGTTTTTAATGTTTTTCTAACTACTTTATATATGCAGTATTTTTTAAAAGGCACTGAGCTCTTGAATTTGAAACACAGCTATAGTTGAGAATAAAGAGCTTCTGTTGAATGATGACTTGCAAAAATGTCTTCAACTCATTTTATGGGCTGAATATCTGTCTGTTTAGTTGTATGACCTTGTATTCCATCTTGCCCTGAGCTGCATTAAAAGTTACAGCAGTTAATACTGAATGGTGAAATATTGGTACAAGGTTAACATTTACAAAAAAATGTTTTTCAGACAGGAACTCAATGTGAACCAATCAGTTCATAGTTGTGTTTATTCTGAAGCTTTTATTTTGGAGTCCTCCGTCGCCAAATGACATGTATAATGTTTACAACAGGTATTAGAAATAGAGTTCTTTTTTTTTGAAATTTCTACTATTTTAGAGTAAAATTGTAGATACTGTTCCAAACCATCGTCAAAAAATGCAGAGCAAACTTTTCTGTATATAAACTGTACATAAAACAAGGCACTATACATTTGGGGGCGATATTAAGGTAGAAAGGTGGATTCGCACAGATTCTTAAGAGCCTTTTGTTCATCTTAGCACCGGAAGCAGCACTCAGAACGAGTCAGACTTCACACCAAAGGAGACGCTTCTGAACATGGGTGAAAGTACACATAGGTGGCAGAACTAATTCAACAGAAGCAACTACCTTTTAATATTGACACCAAAAAAAAAAAAATCTTAAAAGTGAATGAATACATATTGCTTTGTTAAATACATATTTGATTTATACGGTGTTTATATAAATATATATATATTTTAGAATCCACAAACTATCAAAATAACACTTTATAAAGAGAACTGCTTCAAAAAAATAGGCAACGCTTAGCTGGAGTGGGAGGGCAGTGCCGTGGCCGCCGCTGAGGACCTGCTGTGTGAGTGCATGTAGGGCCACAGATCTCTCACAAACATCACCTGCTGAAGTGTGGAAAGCGTGTTCCCAGAGAGTTCTCTGGAACATTTACAAAATACACAACTCCCAAACGAGCAGGAGAGCTGGTCACTTCAGGTTTTAAAAATGCGGATGAAAAAACATTTTAAAATACCAGGCTCCCCCACTAAAACATCCATTTTCCTGGTCCATCAGTATTGAAAGTGACTACCCAGGTTCCTCCAGCATCTCATGACTCAGAACAGACCTTTTGCTTTCTTCAGGTTCACCTGCTTCCAAGCGGGCAGTGCATTGTACTCGTCTCGGGTCATGTCTAGTGCAAACTGGGAGGAGAGAAAGAAATGCCCAGCGGCTGAGTGAACGGACTCTCCGACAAGCCATGTGCAGTCCCTCAAATGCAGTCCCACCCAGAAGAAACGCTTACCTCGAAGTCCTCGTCGGTGAGATAGATCTCTAGCTTCAGAGGGTCAACTCCCTCAGGGAGTGGCCTGGCTAGGAGGTCGGCCAGCGGGTAAATGGTCTTACACAGTTTGGCTAAGACATCCTCCACTAGAGTGATCTGATTTGAAACTTCCGTGTCCTGGAGAAGAAGAGGGAGCCGAGAGGGGCACCTCCATGTCTGAACACATTTCGTCATGTGCTGTGAATTATATCACCTGGCCCATTCCCACCCCAGCCTAGCCTGAGATGCCGTCTTACCCCCCCCCACCCCCCGCCATGGGTTTTCATATACATCAACTATCACATGAGTGAATTATAAAGATGATGATTACATGTGAAGCTAAGACATCAGAAGCATGCAAATAATGGAATGTGCTTACAAATATATAAAAGTGATTAACCTTAAAAAGAATCACCCTCCCCTCTATACCTCAGATCCCATCTCCTAATTCTCAATAGAAAAAGAAGGTAAGAAAATGCATCTAGAATGTGCTGGGGCTGAATGGAGTTTTTTTTTTTAACCCCCTCCAGGGGTCTGCAGAGAACACAGGATGGCACTGATTGATGTCTTTGAACCTGCAGAGCTTCGAGGTGTCCTGGGTCACACATTTGTCGTGCACAGAGACACCTCACCATGGCTGTTGGCTCCCAGGCAGCCTGAGAGCCCACCTGTGAAGATCAAGTCCACCGGGCTCCAGAGAGCTTAGGATCAGCAGTGGAGATCAAACAGGCCCTCTCCGTGGTCAAGCAGCAGCGCGCTTTTGCAGTTTGTTTAAAGTTATCCAGACCTCCTATCAAATGCCCCCGTGTCATCTCCCCCAGGTAAGCAGCCCTGTGTCTGCACAGCAAGATAATCCCACTGGACAAACCTATCTCCCACCAAATCAAAAACTTCCTTGGGTTGCTATGTGAGCAGTGTTCAAACCCATACATTAAGAAATTCTACAGAGCTGTGCTAAGCTTCCTCTTCTCAGTGCAGCTGGAAAGGAGAACATGCTGGCTAATAATGTGTTTTGGTGAATAGGGATTATGATAAATGCCTCGTGGAGTTAAAGGATGGCAGGAAAGAGGAGTCGAGCCATCCTGCATCAGGACAGGCTTACACCACCTTCACTCCCTGCATTACCTGAGCAGGTGAGCTCATCACAGAGTTATTCCATGTCTCCTTGGACCCAAGGTTGAGGTCTGAGACAGTAGGCTGTTCTGTGGCTTTATATGGACTTAAAGAGGCAATGGATCTTTAACAGGCAGAAGAGATGGCTGCTTTTATTTGTGTGTCCTCTGCAAAGTCATTAAGTTCACCTTTGCTTTTTGTTTGGACCTGAGCATGGTGTGTAGAAAGTTACCCAGTTATTTTCACTGACTTCTCCTTAGGCTTCTCTTCTCCCTATGCTGATTCTGCGTAGACTGGTCAACACGTGAACAAGGAATCACATTTTCAGATGAAAACGCAGTTGGCCTTTTCTCCTCAGGGGAAGCCACCCCACAGGCTGAAAGGCAGGGAGCCCCGGGAGGGGGAGGAGGGTGCTCACCATCTCTGTGATCTCTGCAATGTCTTCTCTGTGCTCCCAGCTGGGGAACATGTTGGTGAAGGTCAGGGGTTCCAGGCCAGCGTGGATGAGGTAAGACTTGGGGGGCGGCTTCTTCAGGTTTTTCCCTGCAGTCACACAGAAGGCAGACGTCACAGACCTGGTGTGGCCCTGAAGGCCCTGTCTTTCTCTGATTTCCCCTGAAATCTTTTGTTTGCATCCCTTGACTTCAGGCTTAAAATGTAAGTTATGAGTAGTTGACAACCCCGCCTGGAGGATGTTTACCTAAGATGTTTAACTTTATGCATATAGGTATGCATACAGTTGTCTGGACGTGACCTGATTTTAAGGTTCCTGACCCAGTGTCAAGTTCAGTGAGAATTAACCAGCTCATGATAGCAGTTTAGAAGCTGCTTTAGCTTAAATGTTTGGTGGGAAATTTAGTTATTATGAAAGAGTTTCTCAAGAGAAAATTGACTGTACATAGTAATACGAATAAATGAGGTCTTAAAAATTAAGACAAGAAATTAATTACTGGCATCTTCATTTTATATAAAAGACCACCAGTTTCTGGTGGATGGTATAATAGAAAAGCCACGAATTGACTGAACATCTTTCTTTGCAGATGCAACACTAATGACAGGTTGCCATCAGCCTTCCAGCCCATTTGGAGGCTCTCTCTACTCTCTGACAGGGTCCCTCAGCATGATTAACCCTGAGTGCAAAAGGGTTTTAACCAGGCTAGCCATCCCACAACTCAGCTGTTCATCTCGAGGGTGACAGGTTAATAATAGATGGCCTTATAGTATCCTATTGGCCAAGAAGTTCATTTGGGTTTTTCCATAAGATGTTATGTAAAAACCCAAATGAACTTTCTGATCAGTTCAATAGAAAAGAGATATTCCCTAGTTTGTTGAAATGGGGAGGGACAATATAAGGGGTAGTGGAAGAGGTATAAACCATTAGGTATAAAATCTGCTCTCAGGATATATTGTATAACATGGGGAACATAGCTGATGTTTTATAATAACTATAAATGGAGCATAACCTTTAAACATCATGAATCATTATACCATACAGCTGTAACATATAATATTGTACATTAACTCAACTTCAATTTTAAAAAAGAGAAATGAAATCTCATTCATGTTGGCAGCTTAGAATGTATTAATTTCAAAAGTAATAAGCCTCAAGAAGTTCCGAGGGGGAAAAAGTCGGTTTCATGGCTGACTGCAGGTTTTTTCCCAGGCTAGTGCCACCCATAGAAAGGGGAGCCTGGCCTGGGTCTCTAAGCAAGTCTTCAGAAAGCCATCAGGGCGTCTGGATGGAGGGTACCCACTGCTGGGGGCCTCACCTCGGCAGTACTGCAGCACTGTCTCCATGGCGCTCTTCCGGTCCGAGGCCCAGCGGATGCGCGCGGAGCCCGTGATCTTGTTCTCGATGGGCCACCAGCCTTGCCAGAGGTACACCTCATGGTGATTGTCAACAAGGAAAAGTGCTGCGAGAGCAGAGCAGACAGTCAGGGACTCTCCCCCAAGCCTAACCAGTGCCTCCCTCCCTGGCACTATGGTCAGTGGGAGAAGCCCCTTGGCAGGTAAACTCAGGGCCACAGGGAGGGTCCCCCTGATGACGTAGCCTTTGAAGGATGAATCAGGCAAAGCCTGAGGCACAGCTGGCATTGATGAGGTAGGCTCTTTCCTCCTCTCCTCTAATTCCCTGCCTCTCCCCACTCCACAGCTGCTCCTTGGATCCTAGCCAGGTGCCAAGATTGGGATAGATGAGACATGTGACCCCCCAGGGGCTTGTCAGCACCGCTGATCCCCGAGAGCATGTTAAACACTGGGGAGCACGTCACGCTTGCCCTGCCCATGCTTGACCTGCCTAGCAGGTCATCTGAGTCCATGGTTCCTTTAGGGAGGAATGGGCCTTCAGAGATCCTAATGATGTTCCCCTTTTCTCTCCAGCAAACCATCAGCCTGACTCTTCTTTGACGTCGCCAAGGCCTCTCACACCCGTTGGCTCAGCTGACCAGAGTCCTTTCCTGGCTTTCATCTCAGTTCACGACTGACAAGCCCAGTGGAGGCTGAAAACCCAACCTGAGCCTTAGGATGAAGAGGTGGGTGGCAGCCCTTTCTAAGACACTAGCTAATATTTCCCCAGTATGACCATGTACACCAGGCAAGCTTTTCATGTGGTGATGGGGCGGCCAGGGTCCGTGAGGTTCCTGATGCCACTCCAGGCTCTTGTAATGTGAAAGCGGAGACGCCCCAAGGCTGGGACAGCCGACCCCAGACACGACTATCTCTGCAGCCCAGTCCCTGGTGACTGTCCCAACCACAAGAGCACAGAGGCTCTGTCTTGTGGTGGAGGTCATGTGGAAACAGCCCTGACCTTGGGATCAGGAGGCACAGAAGAGAGCCTTGGCCCTGCTCTGCAGCCTGGAATTATACACACTGCTCTGGGGTTCACCCCAAAGATGCTCCCAACCCCTGCTCCTGCGACTCTGGCAAGGTTCCCTTGCAGCTGGGGGTTTCGGGGGAAGTTTTTGCTTTATCTGATAAAAGAGAGAGACTTGGCTATCATTGCAGTTTACCCGTCTCTTTCTTTCTCTTTTGAACAGATACATGAGCAAGGGCAGCCAGCCATATGAGAACATGAATCAGGAAGATGGAGGGAGGCTGGGAGAACAGCAGAGACTGATGCCTGACATGGTTGCACTCAACCTGTTCTTAACTGATGAGTTTGGGCGAGTTGAGTAACCAAGGGTCAGTTTTTTATACTATAATACGTGATTGATATCATCTTCCTTTGGTTGGGGGGAGGTATGAGGATTACATGAGCTATAATATAAGAAAGTGTACTTAGCAGATAAAAACTGTTTACTAGATGCAAAAGTAAAAAGACTTCTTAGAAGTCTTCTGCTGGCTCAGCATGACTCCCCCCTTCTGTGGGCTGTACCTGGCTGTGGGGCGCTGTATAGGTCTTCCTGCAGGAAGGGCATAGAGTTGACCACAGAGGGGTCTCGGGCAGGATACATGAACTCTGTGGCTGAGAAGTCACCAGAGGAGCTGCTGAGGATGAACAGGCGGGGTGTGAAGTTAAAATTTCCAGGATCTTTGAAAGAAAAGAGAACAAAAAGCTAAAGACAAAATAAATTCCAGGTGGACTGGAGAATTAATGTCAGACATGAAATGATCAAGCATGAGTGTAAAAAGGGGTACAGTTCATCTGAACTTGGAGGTGGGCAAGGCCTTTTAAATCCTAACTGCATAAGAAGTAATTCAAGAAGAGATTTATGCATTAACAACATAAAAATGAAAAATTACACTGCATTAGAAAGCACCCTCAACCAAACAAAATGAAAAAGCAAGTGACAAAATGGGAACTATGGAAACCTGTTCATATCCTTAGCAGTAATATAAAGAAATGTAATAATAATAAAACAATAAATATCTAAAAATGTGCTAAAGGCACAAATAAAATATTCACCCAAACAGAAGTACATGTGGCTAAGAAATACACATAGACAGCATTTAACAGTACTTCTAATTTAGAAACATTAAGTTATAACAGTGTTAGATCATAATTTCTGCCATCAGTGAGGAAAACTAATAAACCAAGCATGTGACTGTGTTGTGAAATGTACACATGTGTAAACTGCTGTTGAGGTGGGCTACAATCAATGGGTAAGAATCGAATTTGGTGCCGGTGTTCTGGGGACACTTGCGGATGCTATTGTAAGACTTCATAATAACTTCACCACAGTTGTTCCAGGTACAGGAATTTACCTTAACTGGAAATAAATGCAGATAATTCTTTTGAAAACTATTCACAACTCGATCGTTATCAGAGAAAAATTTGAAACAACTCAGTTCTCCAGCTATTAAGTAGAGAGTGGCATATATACTCACAAAATACCTGCAGCCATAAGTCTATAAATATTAACATAGGCTTTGGGAAATGGTTCATCATAAATTAAGGGAAAAAAGCAGGTTACAAAAGACTGTATAATGGGTGCTATCTACATCTAAATACACATATCTATCACATAAAGATATGTTAATTCTGGTTCACACCTATGAAAGACATGATTATTATAAGGATCTTTCTTTGTGTTTTTCAGACATTTCCCACTGTCAGTATGCAGTACAGATAACCCTCGAACAACACAGGTTTGAATTGCACTGGTCCACTTACACATGGAGACTTTTCAATAGATACATTGGAAAAATCTTTTGGAGATTTGTGACAACTTGAAAAACCTGCAGACAAATTGTATAGCCTAGAAATATTGTGAAAAAAGTAATAAAATTTAGGTATGTCATGAATGCATCAGATATATGTAGATACCTACCTTTACATAGGCATAAGGTGAGTGATATTTAATATTAAGATTAATAATGTGTTCATTTTCTTACTGTTCTATAACTTTGTTTTCAAAGAATTACCATGCAGTCTGTGTCTCTCTTGTAACTGGAGAAGTTGTGTATCATTATCATTAGGGGTAAGTAATTTTTATAAAAATGTAACAGTGCTTTCACTAGTTTATTATTATGACTGAAACACTGCATGCCATAAAAACGTTATAACCATTCATCAGTCTATCAGCGACACTAGGCAGTATAAAGTAATCATATTGCTGCTTTTTTGTTATCAGTGCATGAATCATTATATTGGGCTGACCAAAGAGTTCGTTCAACCCAATATCTGTAAATAAATACAAATTTCTGTTTCACAGTATCTTTTAATTTTTGGTGTCTAGTATTAGTAATACATATAACATCTACAGTATTTTGTATCCACTTATTCAGTATTGATGTAGGTACTAACAAATGATTCATCTCATAAACAGATGATGGAAATTTATAGTATCCTATAGTAAATGTAATTTCCATCCCTTATAATTTTCATTACATTCACTTTTTTGTAAGAATTATATAATACATACAACCTACAAACTGGGTGTTAACTCTTGTGTTCTTGGTAAGGCTTTCGGTGAACAGCTGGCTATGAGTAGTGAAGTTTGGGGGCAGTGACAAGTTATATGTAGGGACTTCCCTGGTGGTCCACTGGTTAAGACTCTGCCTTGCAATGCAGGGGACACAGATTTAATCCCTGGTTGTGGAACCAAGATCCCACATGCCATGGGGCAGCCAACCCCTGACATGGCCAAATAACAAGTTATATATGGATTTTCAACTGTGTGTGTGTGTGTGTGTGTCAGGGGGTGGAGCTTAGCCCCTAACCTCTATGTTGTTCAAGGATCAACTATATTTTAAGAACTTCTGGAAAAGTTTGTAAAACCTGAGAGGCAGTACAGTGTGGTCACAAGGACATCCCACTGTTGTCCAACCTGGGCTGAGATGGTTAACCTCCCAGGCCTCAGCTTCCCTGCCCGTGAAACTGGGCAGCTTCTTGGTTGGGCTGTGAGCATGGAGTGAGGGAATGTGTAGCAGGTGGTTAGCCAGGGCCAAGCTCAGCCTAAACTGCTTAGTAATCGTTCGCTTTTCTTATGTTGTTCTGTATGTATGTCAACCTGTATTTTGTGTATTCAAAGACAAGACTGACCTACTCTCATTTAAACCCCACTGTTCCCCAGGACAACTTCCCAGGTGGCTCAGTGGTAAAGAACCTGCCTGCCAGTGCAGGCACTGTGGGTTTGATCTCTGGGTTGGGAAGATCCCCTGGAGGAGGCAGCAGCAACCCACTCAAGTATTCTTGCCTGGAAAAACCCCACTGACAGAGGGTTGCAACTTGGTGACTAAATCATCACTATTTCTCTGCACCTTGGGCACTGGCTAAACCAAAAGCACCTCATTCCAGAGGCTCATGCTGTGCCCATCTGGTTTCCTGGAATGCTCCTCCCTCCCTCCTTCCCTTCTCTTCAAGTCACAGCTACACATCTGAGGCTCCGGGAAGTGCCCTGTCCTCTTTGGAGCCCGGTGCGACACTTCTAGCAGAAGCATTCTTTATTAACAACTCTACCCTGACACACAGTATCTGCTTGGCATCATAACTAGTGATAAATGGTATTTAGTTGTCTTGTTGGGTTGTTGGCCCGAGAAGACCTGGCCTTGGGATAACTCCTCGTGTGTTGTGTGGAGCACGTGTACACAAATATTTACATACTGAGGAAGCTGGTGCTCGGAGGCGCCGGATGTGGGCTTACCTTGAAGCATGCAGTCGTAGGCTTTCCGGTCTCTCCTCCCCAGAGCATCCCAGAAGCCCAGGGGCTCCGAGCCTTCATCACACTCGTGGATTGTCACTTTGCTGCTGCTGTGCAGCCCGGCCTCCAGGGGACATCTGCAAGGAGAGAGTCCAACAGTTTCTGTCAGGCCCGGAACTGCGGGCAGGACAGAATTATTCCAGACCACAGCTACAGATGGGTTCAGCATCTTTCCTGCTTTCCAACGAAAACGGTCCTTATGATGAACGACAGCCCGCTGCAGTATGTGAGTGGGTTCTCACCTGGGGCTGTCTAGTGCGCTGTCTCTGGGTTGTGGGCCCCTGTGGGTGCCTGCCTGGAAGAGGAAGGGAACCCAGCATGCAGTGTGCCTGCCCCGGGGACTCTGGTAATGCACTTGGGCAGCTGTCTCCCAGACACCCTTGTCCCCGGAGGGGGCCCCTGACAGTGTGACACAGTGGGTGGTGTCCCAGCTCTCTTCAGCTGAGTGTTTGCAAACCTTCCACACCTCTGACAAAACCAGCTCTGATCCCCTAAATGATGTTTGAAATTTGTTCTCTCTTAAATAACCAAGGACCCAGGCTGATAATTCGAGAGCTGAATCACACCTCTGAAGGGGTCTTCTGTCTTCTGCCTTTTATGGAAGCAGGTAAATCCTCAGAAAGTGGGGACAACCCTCAAAGGGGAGGTTTGGGCTGAACGTGTGTCACATGAACTTGGACCTTCAGGGCCCCTGACCTCGTGGGGCCCTCCCCACGCTGAGTCACGCTGGACATGTGGGGGCATCCACGGGGCCCTTGGGGTCCTCAGCCTGCACCCGGAGGCCCTCCTGCAGGGAGAGGTGCTCACACACACAGCACTCACTGGTCCTTGATCTTAGTGGCCGCAGTCCGTCCGACCTCCTTCGTGTGGGCCTGGGCTTTGCACCCGTGCCACAGGTAGATGAGGGCTTTGTGGACGTTGAGGACGACCATGGACGTCCTAGACCTGAGGCTGCTGCAGTGACAGGCCACCTCCAGCAAGTTCCCCTCCACGGGCACCTCTCCGCGCACACAGTACAGCCGCCACTCGCCTGCAGGGGGCGCCAGCCGCACAGTTAGGAGGGGACCCTGCCAGGCGGCCCAAGCCCCACTCCTTCCCGTGTCTGGAGGGGCAGGTGGAGGTGAGGCCGCTTCTAACTGAGGCCCAGAAAACAAACCTTTGTGGACTTAGAAACAGGTTGCCGAAAGTTCACGATGCAGAAAAACCAGTTTCACAAAATTTATAAAGACCTACGTAAGCAGTAACAGGCATATTTTAAGAAGCTTGAAAGCTGTGATTTTGTTTTTTAAGATGTTGCTCAACAGAAATCTCATAATTTAAAAGATAAAATCACTGATATTTTTTCCCTCCAGGATCCAGTTTAAGGTCATCTTGTGGCCTTCTGCATGCAAAGCTGGATTTTGAAGGCAACTCCGTGGAAGGAGGGGGTGGGGTGTGGGCACCCCATAAAGCTGATTTATAAGGCAAACTCCAGGAGGTCGTCACTGGTGAAGCCATAGCTACATGAAGAGAGACTTACTCCAGACCCCCACCCCTGTAAAAAATACCTTCCCTGGAGACAAAACAAAAGCGAATTCCAAGAGTAAGAGTGACTCACTTTGTGTGTTTTCTTCCTCTTCCTCCCGTCTCCCAGAGTGGACCACCATCCCCCCCTGGAAACACTGCAGGAAACAGGGGGGCTCCTTGCCCTGCAGGACTTGGACCTTCCGATTGAAACACATGATAGAGTAATAAGTCACGTGTCCCAGTTCTGCAGTCATAAAAACAACACATGCCTGTGTAGAAAATCTGAAAAATATTGAGAAGGACAAATAAAAGCCAGTGATAATACCATGATTTATAGAGAACACTATTATAGTTCTAGAGTACAGTTTTTCTATGATACAAAGAATTTTTCAGGTGTACATTTTTCCAAGTAGGATTGCTGTTTTATGTTGCTTTTATACCCTGATTTTCTTCAGTTAGTGTTTTTCTGTCATCACATGTCCTTTAAAGCATGAATTCTGATATTCAGCGATAGGGATATAATGTGATTAATTTAAACATGTTTTTAATAAGACTTCTCAGCAGTGAGAATGACCAGTGCCGACTCAATGTTTCTGGGGAAAAGAACGCTCTCTTTTGCAGCCTCTGGTACCCTCAGAGGGCCTGTCATCCAGGGCACCTCAGTCAGTGCATCTGGTAACCCATGGGCGTGAGATGCAACATAGTAACAGTAACCGAGGGTTGAGTCAGCTGACTCTCACTTTGCCAAAGACATTTTCCCTTAAACAGGAAGCTTAACTGAGCCTGGCAGTTGGGCAGCACTGAAAGGTAGGAAGTGTTTCTCACTGTAAGTTATCAACCTCAGGGCCTACTGTGCATCATTAAGGGCCATTTTGTGCCAGTGATTCTCTATTTCTGCAGTGATTTTCCACCCATTGGATTAATAAAAATGAAATGCTCCAATTGGATTAAGACTGAAAACCCTAAGGATGATTTTGAAGGTATGATAAAACATTTGTTTATGGCCTCTACCCTCGCCAAAAAAAAAGCAGTTTAAATGATCCACTATGAGGAATAAATTAGCTTTCAGTGATGAACGGCTGTTATGTGGAAAATATAGTCCACAGTAAAAAAAAAATATGCATTAAATACTTTTAGGAAAGAGGATTGGTTTTTAGGAACCTGGACGGCTGAGTGCTTGTGGATCTGTTTCTGGAGAAAATACCTCTGCTCTCTTTCCTATGTTTTTCTTAACTGTTCATCCAAGACAGTAAAAGGATGCTAAGATCTCTAAAACACCAGAATCAACTCTTAAATCCAAACATTAAAAAGGAATGTTTTCAAAACCTTTGACTTTGGGCAGTGGTACCTGCCAGGCATCACACAGGCTCTGGGGTTATGGGGTGGGTAAGACCAGGATAGACACAATTTCTTTGATGCTTATAGAGGAAGGCAGAGAATAAGTAAACAGTGACCATCCTTCTACGTCAGGGTAAGTGCTGTGAAAAAATAAAGCAAAGGGAAAGAGAAGGTGGAAAAAGCACATGGAGGTGACATCCAGACAGAAACCCAAATTGTGTAAGGTTCCCAGCGAAGTGCCAGGCCGGGGAAATCAGTGCAAAAGCCCTGCAGTGGGCAGAAAGAGGGAGGAACCATAAAAAGGTGGGAGTGGCCTGAACAGGTGTACAAGATGAGGGAGGTTGGGATGGTGTAGGACTGACACCAGGAGACCCTTAGATGGTGGTCCAGGTGTGATGGAGAACAGAGTGGGCAGGGCATCATCTGATGGGTCCTAGAAAAATCACCCAGGCTGCCATGGGGGATGCAGGCCATGGGAAGACTCAGTCTTTACATCCATCTTTGATATTTCCTGAGGATGGATTTGTGTAAGTGGAGTATGATCAAAGTGTGTGAACACTTTAAGGTTCCTAAGCCAAAGCTGCTTTTTAGGGTGGCTGTTTCAATTTATACTTCCCAGCAGGGGCGGGCATGGGCACCCATCCTCCTGAATCCCCACCAGCCCTGGATCCATTCTTTTAAAACACTTCTGCCATTTTAGGAGTGGAAAGTGGCATATTTGTCCTATGTACAATTCCTTGATGATCAGTTAAATGAAAACTTAAAAAAACGCTCACGGGCTCTTTAAACTTAATTTCGTGGATTTACTATTTGCAGATATACTTTAAGGCCGTATTATAAGAGGTCTGCTTTCCTGGCCAGGCAGGTGATGAAAGAGGAGACAGAGCCTGAAATACAGAGAAGCCAGATCAAGACTAAGGAGGCTTTGGACAATGCTGTCCTTTGTTCCTGAGAATCAGGTCCTCCCTGGTTTGCGGCGCGCCTGCCTCCGGGACTTACCTGGGCCCCCCTTTCCTCGTCCAGCTCCACCGTCATCAGGGCTGATGTGCCCTTCTCGCTCACGGTCGACTGGCGGCCTTGCCAGAAGAAGTAGACACATTTCTCTTTGCCAGCCACCCTGACCGAGTGCTCCCCCTTCTGCCGGCTTCCCACTGCAAACACAAAGGACAGCAGAGCGTGGGGTGAGCAGGGGATAAACTCCAAGAAGAGCCAGTGTGCAGCTCAGGCCTCCAGACTCTGAGGACAAACAGCAGAGGCGCAGCCCTGGGGCGCCGGGCTGGGGAGAAGTCATTTACAACGGAGGGAACATCGATCTTGGTTGGCCACTAGAAGAGTGAGAAACTACCTTTCTTCCAGCTAATGGACCCCAAGCCAGAGGAAAATATCTCCAGGCCTTCCTGATACCCCAAGATAAACACCTATCATCTGGGGAGATAGTCAGTCATTCAGGTGTATGTAACAGAAAAGTGTGGACGCCAGAGCAGGCCTGGGGCGCCCGATTGACACAAGCTCAATTTCCGTATTTCACCAACCTTTGGCAGACGATCCGGTGGTGGAGAAAAGATACTATAAACAATGGTTGGGCCAGCTTTAAGCACGAAGGAAAAAATGTCATCTGCTAAGACTATTTAGTAAAAAAAAAAAACACTTTGAAGTCTCCAAGTTATGTCAGAAGTGGGAGAGACAAATTGCGGACCTATCACTTTCACAAAATGACCTGGGCTTTAAGTGATGACTGCCACCGGGGCTGCAGCCAGGATGAAGGGCTGGTTAGTCTCACTGACGGGACCTCACGGGCACTGGAGAGACGGCAGCACACAGAACGCGGACCCCACTGAGGGACAGTCACGGAAAGTGATCTGGGTGAGTGGTCACTTCAGACAGTAGTTCAGACCCCAGACCATTAACCTGTCTCCAGACTTCCTCATGTGTTTGTTCAGTAAATATTTACTGAACACCTGCTGTGTGCCAGGGCAATGATGGTGAACAAGGTGACTTCAGAGGGTGTCAGTACTGAGAGGAGAAAGGGGATGTGACAGGGAGCAGGCTGAGCGATGCTGTATCTGGTGGGGAACGCCTTTCGGAGGAGGTGCGTAAGGGAGGCCTGAATGACCGTGACCAAGAGGCAGAGCGCTCTAGGCTGAGTGATGTCAGGAGACTAAGATCCCCACTCAGATGCCCAGGTGGTCCCGGGTGGATCAGCCCAGGGAGGATGCAGGTGCCTGTGACACCCATGTATGTTAAAAATCAAGAAGAATAAAATATGCACACCAAAGGGGAAAGGAGGGGTGGGTGGGATGGGTTGGGATTGACGTTTATATTGTACTGTGTATAAAATAGGTAATTAATGAGAACCTACTGTATAGCACAGGGAACTCTACACAGTGGAGACCTATATGGGAAGGAAACTGTAACAAGATGGGATATAGATATACACACACATAGAGCTGATTCACCTTGCTGCATAGCAGAAACTAACACAGCATTGTAAAGCAGCTATAAAACTCCAAAAAAAAATTAAAAACATAAAAATACCAAAAATAATAATTGGACTCTCTGGGGTTCTATATGAGCTCAATTTTTCTCAACCCCAGTGTCAATGACAAAATCATAGTTGTCTTAAGGTTTGAAGGTAAGAAGAAAGCTCAATTATTCCAAGTTTCTGAGTGGCCAGGGGCCATATTTATGTGATTTCTTTCGGTCTTTTTATCACGGTATTCGAACAGCTTTCATAAATGATTATGATAATTCTTAAAGGATTCTGACCAAGCTCAGGCCTTCGCACCTTCTACTGTGAACCTGAAATTGTCAAGTCTGTGTACCTCTCGGTGCACCAAGCAAATAGGAATCACCCCATGAACAGATGTTACATGTCCACAATTAATTTGGAAGCCACTCGAAAGTTTTGCCAGTTTAGGTAGGAACAGAAGTTCTCTTTGTTTAGCAATCCCACACTCTTCAAAGCAATGAAAATTAGTCAAATCAGCTAGACTGCTACGGGAGAGATATGCTTAAAAGATATTACAGCAGTCTACACGTCTTGGAATTTGTTACCAGTCTGTTAAATATATATGTTCGTATTTAAATAATCAGTGTTTTGCACCTTAACATTCTAAAATGGGCTTGCCTACATATACCTAAAATAGGACTATATTCCCTTAAAAATATTCCATAAAAGTTTTCACAAATTTTCCTTGCAATTTTCTTCCACATACCCTGAATTTAATCCTGTGTACAACTTACTTTTTGATGCATGGACTGATTTTTAGTTTTAGCGAAGGTTAAGCTGTATTAGTTAAGCTCTATATTAAGAGCTCCTGGACTGTCGTCTTTGCAGCCTTGACCCGAGGCTGAATGTAACATGTCGCTGCATGCTGCCATCCACCTTCCAAGAGGAAGGTCGTTACCAGGAGTTGCGTTTAGAAGTAACAGAACACGGGTGGTGGCTGCTCAGCACGTGGTCTTGCAGCCAGCCTCCTACAATAGGAACTTGACTCCTGCATGGGGGCCCAGTGGGGCCTGCCCCAGCATCACTGGGTACCCCAAGCTGCCTGTTCCTTGACCCCGTGGGGACCTGAGCCACATCCTGCAGCATCTGGGGCGGGACACTGACCACTGGGGCCTCTGGTCTCCCGTGTCACAGTTCACGTCCCAAGGAGCAGACTGCCCAGAGTCAGCCAAGAGGGCACCAGTGCTGCATCACAGGAGCTGTTTTCTGCCGGGCCTGCCCAGAAGGGCGCCTTGAATTAACCCCCTTTGCAGGTGCAGCCCTTGTGGGCCTGAGAGATGTGGGGACTGGACCAGCTGTCACCAAGGGACCAGGGCTTCTGTGATGACCACAGAGCAGCTGCAAATACTATTTGGCTGTGCTTTTCTGCTCCCAGAGGGACAGCCTGGAATCTGAACGCTGCCCGGCCTCCCTTAATCCTCTGCAGCTGGGCTTCATCAAAGCTGTCACTTTCTCCATAAAGGTGCCTGCCGCAGGGTCTGGCTGTGACATGTACCTTGTGTTCACTGCGGAGAAACACAAAGTATCTGCCCAAGTCACATCAGCATTTCTTAGGGGCCTTTCAGAAATCTGATATCTGTTTTTTAAATTCATTTTCATATAGTCTTAGTCATCCATTTACTGACCATTATTTCTTAAGGAGACAAGTAAATTTCAGACGGCAGCTCCCCCATCTGGCCTTGTAAAACGACAAGCCCCTTCCCTTCCTCTACTCTTAAGGCTGAGGATGGTGGGTGCTCTCGAAAGTTGCTCCTTATTGGTCCCACGTCCACAACATCGAAGGTTCGTAGATCTTTTCCCACTAAATTCCCACTGATTGTCTCAACTGCCAGGCAGGACAGGTGAGTATTCAGTGTCCAACTTGGCAGCTCACCCCAGAGTTTAAACCCACAACAGAGACCCTCTGGGAACTGCTATCACTGGGGGTGGACCCACAGTATCTCATCTTCCAGTTCAATGCAGGAGCTATGCTGAGAAGGTCAACAATGATGATGTCTGCACCTCTTATGTACTAAACATCCTGCATACCTGATCCTAGGACCCTGCAAGCGGGGTATTACAATCTCCATTTGCCAGGTGAGTAAACCGAGGCTCAGTCAGTTTATGTAAATTTCCCCAACTTGCACAGCTAGTGGCCCCTGAGAGGATTCAGACCCAGGCTGTAGGGTACCTGGGTCTGGGGCCTTTCCTCCAAGCTGGGAGGCCTTGGGGAGAAAAGCGGTCTTGAGTATCCAGTCCTATGTCCTGTGACTGTCAAGTCACACAGTCCCTAAAAAAGTGTCTTATTCCATAAATATAAGACCTGATACCATAAAACTCCTAGGAGAGAACATGGGCAAAACATCCTATGACAGAAATTACACCAGTGTTTTCTTAATGTCAGTCTGCTGAGGTAATAGAAAGCAAAGCAAAAATAAATGGGACCTAATTACAAGCTTTTGCACAGCAAAGGAAACAAGGAAAAAAAAGAAAAGACAACCTATGGGATGGGAGAAAATACTTAAAAATGATGTAACTGACAAGGGTTTTATCTCTAAACTATACAAATAGCTCATACAACTCAACAACAGAAAACAACCTAATTGAAAAATGGGCAGAAGATCTAAATAGACATTTTTCCAAGGAAGACATAAAGATGGCTAGTAGGCAGTTGAAAAGATGCTCAACATCATTAATTATTAGAGAAATGAAAATCAAAACCACAATGAAGTATCACTTCTTACCATTCAGAATGACCGTCATTTAAAAATCTACAAATAAATGCTGGAGAGAGTGTGGAGAAAAGCGAACCCCTCCTACACTGTTGGTGAGAATGTAAGTTGGTGCAACCACAGTGGATAACAGTATGGCGGTTCCCCAGAAAACTAAAACAAGAATTACCATATGATCCAGCAATTCCATTCCTGGGCATATAACCAGAAAAAAAAAAACTGTTAATATAATTGAAAAAGATACATGCATCCCTATGTTCATAGAAGCACAATTTACAATAGCCAAGACATGAAAGCTACCCAAATGTCCATGGACAAATGAACAGATAAAGAAGATGTGGTATAAAGACACACACACACAATGAAATACTCCTCGGCCATAAAAAACAATGAGAGAATGCCATTTGCAGCAACACAGACGGAGAGATGATCATACTAAGTAAGAAAAAGACAAATGCTCTATGACACCACTTGTATCTGGAATATAAAATACAACACAAATAACCTTGTCTATAAAACAGAAACAGGACTCATAAAGAACAGACTGGTGGTTGAGAAAGCGGGAGGGAACGTAGGAGAGGGGCAGACTGGGAGTCTGAGACCAGCAGAGGCAAACCAGCCATACAGGAGGGACACAGCAAGGTCCCACCGTACAGCACGGGGAACTGTATTTAACAGCCTGTGATGAACCATAATGGAAAAGAATATGAAAAAGGATGTGTGTGTGTGCGTGTATATGTGTGTGTATATATATATATATATTTGAATCATTCTGCTATACAGAAATTAATACAACACTGTCGATCAACTATACTTCAATAATATAAATTTTAAAAGTGTCCTCTTTATAGAGCAGGTGCTCGGTAAATGCCACCTGTTGAGTAACACATGTATAGCGGATAAATTAGGTAAGAAACCAAATGGTTCTAAGTCGGTGTTTGAAAGCCAACAATGGCCTCGCCCTGTGCCCGGCGGGGCAGCCACACCCGGAAGGTGAGGGGGCCAGGAGGAGGTGACTGAACTCCCTTGGCAAGAGAAACTCAGAGTCATCAGGTTGTGACATAAACTGTCTCTAAATGCGTAGGAATGAGGGACACTGGATCACTTGACTTGTGGCTGCTGCTTGGCAAGAAAAAGGGATTATTTCTCCCCAGCCCACTGCTCTCTGCCCTCACTGCACCTAGTGCAAAGCACGCCGTGGAGTGTTTTGTTCTTGTGCCGCGTGACGAGCACAGCGCTGTGGGGTCCGTGGGGAAGTGGGACATGTATTTATTTACTCTGCCAGATCCATAGAGCACTGTTAGGACTCTCAGCCTTGGAGGAAATACTTCTATCAGTCTGAATAAATCTTTTTGTGCATGGATTGACTGTGATGACACCATTTGGTTTCAGTTCTGAACTATCGGCTGTGTGTTCCTTCCATTTCGGCAGCATCCAACCATGGGGTAAATAGCAATGTCATATGGAGGCAAATCACTGCTTTTCTAGAAGACCTTTGGGGGTGGGGCAGGGGAGGGGGCAAGGGTGGCCGGGAAATCTTACCATGCCAGGCAACTAGAGGGAAGCACCAGGGATGCTAGCCATGCTGGGGTGTTAGGAATCTATTCCCGAGGTTCTCACGAGGAATGACTAGACTGGCTCCTGTACCAGCAGCTGGAGGCACACACACACTCACTCTGGATCTGGTGGCCACAATGCCCATGGCGGGGCTGGGAGGACACAGAAGTGCTCACTCACCTGCGGTGCTCACGATGAACTTCCACTTGACCACGTAGGCGTCACCCTCGTGGAACTGCCCGATGCTCTGCTTGGGGAGCCTGCTGTAGTCGAACTCCAGGATATGCCAGACGTCCACCGAGACACTGGCGATCTCAAACTGCCTCCGGTCGTCCCCTTCCACCAGCCCATAGCCTCGGCCCACGTTGACCCCATCCAGCACGGTGCCGGCTGTCGTCTGGGGCACCGGAACCATCCGCGTCACATCGTAAGGCTTGACCTCCGCCCGGCCATCATCCTAGGAGGGAACACAGACATGCTGGCTCAGCTGCCTCTGCATCCGCAGCTATAGCATCACTGCTTCCCTGGTGATGGGATACCCTCAGAGGATGGCATTGAGGCTGTCCAGTGCATTTCAGGAAAGGCTGCATTTAGGGGACTCACAGCCACGACTGAATGTGACACCTATAAACCGGGAGGTGGAAACACGGCTATTTTCACCTCCTGGAGTCAGACTGTAACTGGAAACGGGTTTGCTGTTCTACTAGCAAACCCCAGGAGGGCTTTTAGCACCCAAGCCCCTTTGGCATGGACTCAAACCGAGTCCTGAGGTTTGGGGCTTGATCATCCTGAATACCTTGTGCTGCGCAAGTTCGCTGGTGTTCTTCTCATTAGGTCTCTTCAGTTCCGTCCAATCAAGAAATTTCTCTTTGAACAAGATCGTCTCATTGTGTTCTGTAAGTCTCCCAAATATTGCCCAGTCAGGCCGCCCCTGTCCTTTTCTGCAGGGTGGGGGTGGGGTGGGAGGAGTGGACGGGAAAAGAACCAAGATTAAATAAGTCACGTTGAAATTAAGAAGTACAAACCCAGCACACGTGGCTAGTGAGAAAACCAAACACATAAACAGTATACAGAGTGGATGGTTTGTTTTCACTGATGTGACCCGATAAATGACATTTTCTTATTTTAGCCTGAAGCCTTGCATGGTTTTGTTTCCTTGGAGTTGATGTGCCTGAATGTGACATGATCCACCTCAGGACTGGACTTGCCTTGCATTCTAGCAAATCCTCATGTCGGGGTCCCCGAGGGCAACAGGCTAGTCTGGGAATTCAGCAAAGGCAGGAGTCACAGGCGTGTCTCCCTTGCCTGCTTTATTCTGCCCACGGTCATCCAAAGGGCCTCAGCATGTTTCCTTCAAGTTCATGAATAGATGGAGGGATCTGTGTTCACCCTGAGTGCTCTTTTTAAGTCATGTCACAATGGAGATTGCCAGTCTCCAGGAACAAATTCTCCTCTCTTCCCTAAATGAACATATCCTCATAGATCATAGAGTGAGTTTGTGCACATTTATGTCTAGGTCAATGGATGGGAAGTAGATGAGCAGAACACAATGAAAAGAGAAAGGAAGCTGCCCAGCCCAGTCAGGAGGTCCGTACTGTCTTGGGATCTCAGAATCCAGCATTGAACTTGGAACACAGCTAACTTAGAAATAGGCAGAGCTGAGAAAAGACGTGCAGAAGAGGGTGAGCCCTAAGGATAAGGTGAAGGTGTTTCTCATCCTTCCTAATCAGCCTTGGCTTGTGAATTGGGTCCATGAGATGGATGGGCAGTGCTTCCTGGGCCCTGTGGTGGCCCCTGCTTCATCACATCCTATTTGGTCCAGACCATTTTCTGGCATCACAGCTAAGGCACACCAAGGGGCTGCCTGTTGGATGAGGCACTGTATGCAAACACTTCCCCTGTGAACTCTAGTGGGGCTTCAGGAACCAAATATCAGCAACTATGGAAAGTTCAGGATTACCTTGAAGGCTATGGCCCTTAACAGAAAATAGCTGAGTGACTGTCTTTTATCTAAATTCCACGCTGCAGACTTGCTAAGGTGCTTATAGAATGAGCACTTTGGTCTCAGCTTAGAAACTGATCTTGGATACTGTGAAGCCAGGAGCATGGCCAGCAGGCCTGCAGCGTGAGGGCGTGAAGCTGGTGATCCTCTCCTCTGTTCTGACTTGTGGGTCTGAGCTGGGTGAAGTCATGACTCCTCGGCGGTTTCAGTCTGCTGTCTGTTAAGAAGGGCTGGGTGCTCCACTTTGCCCGCACCTTAAAATCCTTGGGGAGCTTTTAAGACGTGCTGATACACAAGCCCCACCCACCTGAATTGAAAACACATCTCCCTGGCTGGGCCCACCAAATGCATTTTTTTTCAAAGCTCCTCCACTGAGAGCCAGCGGGTGAGATGCCCACTCCTCTGTATTTTCAGATCTCAGATGATGTCATGATTGAACTGTCCATCATATAGATTTTATGCTTTGCTATTTTTTTCTTTTACTATAGCAAGTAAAATATTCCTTTTAGTCTTAGATTTAGTTCTTAAAAAAAACGAGTTGTTTCAGTACTAATTTTGTTAAATGTGCTTAAAAAGGATTTGAAAACTTTTCACCTACACTGACATTATATTTTTTTTTTACACTGACATTATTTTGAATTTTTTCTATAATGACAATGAATAAAATCAAGAATTGGGTTTTAAAACAGGAAACAGGTAGGATTGTTGAGATCTGTATATAAGTTCAATGGAAAACATTAACAAGCAGTTTCAATGTGCCATTTGCATCAATTTCTAATGTATTATGTGGCAGGCATAATTTAAAGGCACTTCTTTTTCCTGATAGTTATGAAATAAAAAACACTGATCCTTTGGATGTAAGAATTTTTTTCCTCAAGATCATCTTTCTGAGAGTTTTGTACATCTTTGGCCGATTTGCCAGAATGACTTTAAAAGTCCAGTAGACTATAGGAAATAATTACAGTCATTACTTCAATACGACATCCTCCCTCCCAGTAAAAGGGCCAAAACCTCATCTAAATAAATGGTGGATCCTGGAATTCAAGGGCTATGCTGGGAAGGTGTGAAACCAGACAGAGAGGCATGGTTTCCACAGCTTTGTATCCATGGCTGGATTCCAGGACTTGGCAAGCTTTTCAGATGAGCAAGCCATTTGTTTAAACAACTGCTATTCATCTGGCACAAAAGCACCTGAATGCTGCAGGTGGCACTGATTTAAGAAATGAAATATAACAGGAACACCATCCAGACGACCTCTCCATCCATACTTCTGTATTTGTTAGGGAAAAGCTAAAGCACTGTTCATTTTGTGAATAATCATAGTACTGCATTGTGATCAATTATGAAAAGTAAAACCCATGAAAGGTGATGGTTAATTACTGTGGTGGGGAGGAGGATGCCGAGGGCCCAGCAGTACCTGGGAATGAGGGGATTGCATTCCCCAGGATCCAGCGGGTTGATGTCACAATTCTCGTAGTCAAAGGTTCCATTCCACAAGTGCTTTGCCAGCTGAAAGGCGATTTTCCGTTGTGCTAATGTGACTTCTTTTCCATGCCACACGTAAACTTCACTCCCAAAATCAAACACCAGTACCTGGGGCAATGGCACAGAAAAATCTGTTAACTCCAAGGACAAGTTCTAGTTGACAGGGTCTCTAGTGACAGTGAGTTAGACAGGCGATGATTTAAATCCTAATGGAGCACTCAGTGCAGACACAGAGAGACCTGGCAGCTAGCGCCATCCTGCCAAGCCAGCCTCCACTCCATGTGTGTGATTTCTGTCTTGTTGACCTAAGTGCCCAAGTTAACCCTCCTCTGAAGGCTCAGGCCATGTAGCACTTCTGAGGCATAAGAGCTATTTAAGCATGTCTTCCTCCGTCCCCCATACTCCCTCCCCTCCCTGGTCACTCACTCATTTAACTTACATAGGCAACCTCACGTGGCACTGAAGACCCAGCGACTGTACTCTGCCCTGTGCAATTCCAAGACCCTCAAGGGCAGAGAGAAACCTGTACTTACATTCGCAGTTGGGCTCACTAGGGTTTGTTGAATGAATGCATGAACACAATGCTATTTCTTATTTCCATGCCTGTTGCTTGTTCTATGCTTTCTTGCTAGAATAATTCCTGTCTTCATTTCCAACCTTCCCTGATAGCTCAGTTGGTAAAGAATCTGCCTGCAATGCAGGAGACCCCGGTTCAATTCCTAGATGAGGAAGTTCCCCTGGAGAAGGGATAGGCTACCCACTCCAGTATTCTTGGGCTTCCTTGGTGGCTCAGCTGGTAAAGAATCCACCTGCAATGCGGGAGACCTGGGTTCGATCCCTGTGTTGGGAAGATCCCCTGGAGAAGGGAACGGCTACCCACTCCAGTACTCTGACACAACTGAGCGACTTTTACTTTTCATTTCCAGCAATCCAGATTCTACTTAAAAATAGTAGAATTATTATTACTAAGCAAACTAAGTAGAATTACTAAGCAAATGACTCAATTTCACCTTATCATTAAAATTATTCCTGATTACTTCTTTTTCTGTGACAGTGTTTCTCCCTTTAAATGCCCATTCACATCAGACAATCAGTTTAGCTTTGGATGACATTCTTTCTAATACTTTTCTACTCAACAAAACTTAAAGTCCCTTTGTGTCTTCCACTTTCTTCTCCACACTCAGAATACTTAATGGTCCTGGATGTATATACTCACACACACACACACACACACATATTTGTATACACACATACAAACACATGTATGCATGTGCGCTCATTTGCTTCAGTCATGTTTGATTCTTTGTGACCTTATGGACTGCAGCCCGCCAGGCTTCTTGGTCCATGGGATTCTCCAGGCAAGAATACTGGAGTGGGTTGCCATGCCCTCTTCTAGGGGATCTTCCTGACCCAGGGATCAAACCCACGTCTCTTGCGGCTCCTGCATGGCAGGTGGATTCTTTTTCTGCTGAGCCACTGGGGATGCCCACAAACACATATATATAAAATATTAAATGTAAAATTAAATATTTAATATATATTTAATAAATATTTATCAGAAAAAAACAATAAAAATTATTTAAATTTAATAAATCTTTACTTATGTGAGAAATAAAAATTCATGGGTTTACTTGGCAAACCTAAAAATTATATATACACCTATAATTTCTGAAACTTAAGGACTAAAAAATGTTTAATGTTCATACAAAAATCAAGAGACAGGCCTGAGTCATATTTATGTTTGGCCCAAAACAGAAAAGCCTTCAATGCCCCATACCTCCTCGGAACAACATTTGTAACTCTGTATTAGCAACCAGGCGGCATGGTGGTAAAGAATCTGCCTGCCAGTGCAGGACATTTAAGAGACAAGGGTTCAATCTCTGGGTTGGGAAGATCCTCTGGAGGAGGAAATGGCAACCCGCTCCAGTATTCTTGCCTAGGAAAATCCCATGGACAGAGGAGCCTGGTGGGCAACAGTCCATGGGGTCGCAAAGAGTCAGACACAGCTTAGTGAATAAACAACAATTAGCATCTAAGACAACAGTAATGATTTGAAATCACAAATTGGTAGCCTTTAAAAAGATGTTTCTGGGGACTTCCCTGGTAGTCCAGTGGTTAAGAATGCTGTTCTTCTGCTGCAGGGGCCGTGGGTTTGATCCCTGGTTGGGGAACTTAAGATCTCGCATGCTTCAAGGTGCAGCCAAAAAACCCAAACAAGATGTCTCTGGTCTGTGATGTGCACTAACCCTGGCTAGTGTCTGTCGGGTACTTCCTGTCTGTTTTCCCGGGCAGCCCAGGGCCAAGGCAGAGTCCTCACCATACCTCTTTTGACTGCAGGAGGGAGCACTTTGGGATCTTCCCCCAGTAGTCATCATCAGGGACGAGTTTGTCATCCATCAGACGGTAAATGCAGTTGGTTTCTATTATGGCCGTTTCGTAGAGCTCATCCTCCTTTGGGTCTCCAGCGGCTTTGGGATAAGAACAGTAAGGGGATGTTATGTTTTCCACTGGAGAGCGGCTGGTTTGGAAGAAGGAAGGAGGAGAGGAGAAGAAGTAGCCAGTCTTCTTCTCTGAGATGCAGTAAACTCTTACATTGGTAACTGGCTTGGCCGCCCAGAAGCTTCCAGAAGTCTTTGGCTGCATGTGTGTGTGTATTAATTCCTTCTTCAACAGTCTGGATGTAAGTTGCTCTACAACCAAGTTCCCTCTTGGTCTGAATTAAACTTGCGAGTTCTGAGGCCTAAACAGAGAGAGGAACACAGTTACCTGGGCAGACAAGTCCAAGGCCAGGTGGTGGATGGGCTAAGGCTGAAATCAGAGAAGAGAAATGGTGCATGTCTGAAAGGAAAACCTCCTGACCACAGGGGCCAGGGGCACTGGTTGGGGGTTGTCTACGAAGTCAAGAAAATGTAACTAAAGGACTAGGGGAAATCCATTCTTTACAGCAACAGTTCTTAGTCTTAAATTCAATAGATCATCCGTGATGCTTTGTAAAAACACCCATTCTACTAATCAGCCAAAAAAAAAAAAATTTGTAGCAACATGGATGCAACTACAGATGATCATACTAAGTGAAGTCAGAAAGAGAAGGACAAATACCATATGATGTCATATATGGAGTCTAAAATATGACACAAATGAACCTATCTGTGAAACAGAAAGACTCACAGACATAGAGAGCTGACTTGTGGCTGCTAGGGGGGAGGAGAGGTGGGGGGAGGGATGGAGTAGGAGTTTAGGATTAGAGATGCCAAGTAGCATATGTAGGATGGATAAACACTGAGGTTCTATCGTATAGCACAGGGAACTATCACTCAATATCCTGGGAAGAAAAACAATATGAAAAAGAATGTATGTGTAACTGAACCACTTTGCTCTACAGCAGAAATTAACTCTGTAAATCAGAAATGAACATTGTAAATCAACTATACGTCAATTAAAAATCAGTAAGTCAATAAAAAGAAAAAAAGTACCCGCTTCCTGGTCTTTTCCCATTAAAACCTCACTCAGTACATCAGAGAAGGAACTTCATTAGCACCTGGGATAAACAATTTGGAAGTGACGGGTCAGTTCCTTTCTTCTACAGGAGAAACGATGAACCAGGACTTAAAACCTGGGGGCATAGCTCAGACTCCTTTGAAAACATCTCCCTGAGACACTTAATGAAAGCTCATGGCAGAGGCTTTCTGGAAAAGAAAGAAGACTGTCCCCTCTCACTTGAAGGGAACACTGAGCCTTTGAGAAGCTCTCTAGGGGTCTGGCCACTGGAAGAATGTCCTGTCTGTGTCTAAAGGAGACGCAGAACCAAGCTACTCTCATTCCTCAGACACTGACCTTCGCCTTCTCGATCACGTTGGCAAACTCTCCGACCCACAAGAAGCAGTGATGGGGCGAGAGCAGGAGGAAGCAGTCCCCGCTGTTGAGGGAGGAGGCGCGAGGCTCCACCAGCCGCGTCTGCACGTGTCTTCTTCCTGAACATGGGGCAGAGGTCACTGTCTCCCTGACAGGAGCCCCAGCAGGACCCGCTGGGAAGCACCCCACATCCAGAGCAGCCCTGCTCCTGACTCTGCCTCTGACCAGTCTCCTCTGCTCACCTGAGCTCCCGTGCCGTAGGGGACCTAGGTCACAGCCTCGTGGATGACTTTCCCTGGTGGCATGTCCCAAGAGTTGCCACCAGGACCACTAGCGGTGTCCTGTTACAGCGCGTGGATCCATTAAGGCTCCCTCCCCAGGGATGTTGGCAAACACCCTATTTCCCCTCTCCCACTCCTCTCCTGGTCTCTCTCCACTCAGCCCACCTCCTACACTTAACAGCCTCTGCGGGCCGGGTGATCAGAGAGCCCTTCAGAGAACCTCCTGGTCCTTGGACACCCTGAGTCTACAGAGGAACCAGCTTAGAGGGAAGCACTGCGTTGTGCAGCTTCCAACACCTTCTCCTAAATGGTTTCCATCTCCCCACAGTCACACAGATAGTGCCGTCCCAGCGCTACAACATGGGAACGGAGGCGGGGGTCTGCCTTGTCACTGGTGTTCTAAATACGCTACAAAGGACAGTGGTCGTGCAGACACATACTGGAAACTGCCAGCGAAGCAGAGGATATGCCCTCCTTGTCTTGAGCCTGAATCTACAGCAGTGCTACTGGGGGGCAGCTAATCACTGTAGGGCAGCCCAGAGCCCTCTGGCTTCGGGGGAAGGCTCCTTGTTAAAGAGGGGGAGGGAGGTGTTGGCCACACCTCTGTGCTCCCTTGCTCCCTTCTCTGAGAATGCCCATCTCTCCCTCTGGCTCCCTGACTCCTGCTGACCCCAGTGAGGACAAGAGTGGGGCGAACACTCTGATGGCCGTGGGGACATCTGGTGACCTCAGGCAGTGTGTGGCCAGGGTCACGGGAAGGAGCGCAGCAGCAAGAGCTGGGATCCTGGGATCAGATGGACCAGGGTCAAAGTCAGCTCTGCCGCTCAGCATCTGGGGACCTGGGGCCCGTCACCAAGCTCAGGCGCCGAATGCTTGCCACCTCGTGGGATTTTGCAAAGCTGGGGTTAGATGCCGGGGTGCCCAGTGGACTCTCCAGAAGCGTGCATTCCCTCCTCCTATCAGGCAAGTGGGGGGGGGGGGGAACTCAGGCCTCCAGACAAAACCCGGGGTCGCGTGTGGTCCTCTCAGCTCTCGATACCTTTAACCTGCAGCAGCATCAGCTTCTTGTAGGGCACTGCGCTGTTGTTGGAATTCTGTTCTGTCAGGTTGACGCTCCGCAGGCTGACATTGCTGAAGTTTTCTTTGCTGGCTAACCCTGCCAGGGTGACTTCTGAGAAGCTGGAGTTGGCGGACACTGGGAGGGTTGAAGGACAATACAGCACAGGGCAGTGAGACATTTGGGAGAAAAGACAAGGTTTACACTCAGCGATCATGCATAACTGAATCACTGCTTTCTTCTTTTCAAGCTAGTCCTGATGGGGGAAAACATACTCTAGTCTGATGAGCTATGCAGTGAAGCTCTGTGTTAGGAATTAAACACAGGATTGAAAATATAAATGCTTGTTGACAGGTGTCACCCCATCCATGCAGAGAGATAAGAACTGAGTGTGGACCAACAACCTCAGTATAAAATCAGGAGCTGGACTCATTTGCTGCAATTCCACTAAAGCCGTTATAATTCCTTACAGGGTTCAGATGTTGAAAATGCTTTCCTGAGGGGGACTGTTGGATATCTCCCATCCAAAGTCTTTATATGCAGAAAAGCAGGCACTCTGTAAGGCTTGGTTTAGTTTTCATCTTTTCCTGAAGGCAGAGTGAACAACTAGATGACCTCTTGGGATCCTTTGCTCTCAGATTTAAGATTGTAACAAGGTGCTACGTTCTCAGTGTGAATCAACAAATGTACATATGTCCCCGAAAAGTGGAGGCAGAATTAAAGTACATAGAATCTGTGCCAATAAATCTTTATTTCTCCAGCTCTTTGTTTTAGAGAGAAACTCGGAAAATTACTTCGCTGGGATGAAGTTCTAACACTGAAGAAATATAACACCAAATATAACACAATTCATATGGCTCAGAGATTTTGAAATATACTTATTTAGTAAGACAATTATAATGAAAAGGCTCAACCACTTCATCTAAATATTCTATTTCTAAAAATAAAAAACCAACTTTGGTAAGTAGGTTTATGAGTGCTATAGGAAAATAAAAACGATAGCAAGAGTATTCAGACTCACAAGATCATGCATGCTACTAGCTCCACCAGGACAACCGCTGTTTCTGAACTGGGGACCCCCATGTGGCTGGGCAGAGGAAAGCTCATGGCTGAGCCTGAAGTGGGACAAAGCCTGCGGGCTGCTCCTCACTTTCATCATCACCCTACCTCTACTGCCTGCTCCCACCACCCCTCAACCCACATCCCAACTTCAAGGAGCCCGAGGTCCTCTCCAAAGCAATGTGAAAAGCACTGGTTTGTACTTTAATTAATAGTGTAAAATCTAGGATTAGGCAAAGCAGGGATGTGGGACACTTGCCCATGAGAGATCTAATTTCCTCTAGAATCGAATGGAGTGGAGAACTGCCAAGTTTGGAAATGGGCTGAATTACAAAGCCCTACCTCCCTTTCCTCCAGCCTCTGGAAAGAAAACTCAAAAAGACTTAAATGAACAGAGGGCTTCCCTGGTGCTCAGACAGTAAAGAATCTGCCTGCAATGTGGGACACCTGGGTTCGATCCCTGGGTTGAGAAGATCCCCTGGAGAAGGGAATGGCTCCCCACTCCCGTATTCTTGCCTGGAGAATCCCCATGGACAGAGGAGCCTGGTGGGCTCCAGCCAATGGGGTCGCAAAGAGTCGGACACGACTGAGTGACTAACACTTTCACTTTAAGTGAACAGATGGGTAACACTTAAGAGTTTCTGTGAGAAGCCTTCACCTTCTAAGCAGGTTTTCTGCAGGTGTGTATGCGTGTGTGCAAACACACTCATTTGTCTTTCACGAGTATCTCTGAGCACCATGACTGGCCTTTGCAGGGCAGGAAAATGAGAGATGGAGTCACCTGCTCCCCCAGTTCCCGAGCACACAGCTGGGGGTGGGCCCCAAACTCACACTTTTCGACTTTCATCCGCTTTGACTCCACGAAGGCCACGTTCAGTCTCTGCTCAGTGTACTCCTGCAGGAGATCTTCCCTCGCGGCCAGCATCTTCAGGGGGTTTTTGGAAGCCTGGACCCGGCGCTTGGGCCTCACAGCACGCTTGTGCTCAGCCACCGAGGATGTCAACCTGCGGGGCAGAGCAGAGCTGCTGTGGCCCAGGGCTGCAGTCTCACCCATGCTCAGGGGCTTGCGGGTCTCTGACCTGGTGCATCCAGCTCCAAAGTTTTATTTCTCAATTGCATTATAAATCTTACAGCTCCCCCTCCTCCTCCCACCATGCCACTGACGGAGTCAGGGGATCTTGGAAGGTTGAAGCCCATTTGGGTCCAGATCCCAGCCAATCCTAGGAGCCCTGCTCTCACCATGCCCCTGGGACTTCACCTGGAGGAGCGGCTGGCGCCTCTGGGACAGCCCACCCTACTCCTGGACAGTGCTGATAGGTGGAAGTCCTTCCCGTTATCATCACCCCCCACAGCATCCTGGTCACTTCCTGCTGGAAAAGAACCACCTTTCCTTCTCTGGGCTTTCTAGCAAGCCCTCTGAGAATAGCCAGGCATTGTTTCTCAATTTAACCCTCCTTCCTGAAAGCTCAACTTCCTCTCCATGTCAGTTTTTGAGTTCCCTCCCCAATTCTCCCATCACTATTCTCCTTTCAACCCACTGTCCCCTTTGGAAAATAAGCACTATTTTGAAGAGTATACAGAAGTAAAAAGAGGCCCCAAAACTAACCATGACCATCTCTCTCTCTCTCACACACACACACAACTCTCTAGGGCTGAACACCAGACATGAAGACGGGGGTACACTCTGTCACAAAGTTTCCCAGCGGACTCTAGCTGCTTTTAACATCCAAGTGCATGGATCTTTGTCCTTGGAGGTCTTCTTTCATACATAACATTATCATGTGTGTATGTGTGTAAACACAACATATCAATGTTCAAATTGTATGTAACAATTTAAACAATGACATTTGGATGAGGAGGAGATTGAGAAATGGTCCAATAACTGTGTATGCAAATAATACCCAGAATATTAAAAGTGGGGAGTGGCAAATTATTCATTTTCTTAAGGTAGCAAATTAAAAAAAACTGAACACATTGAAAAACGCAGAATGGGTATCAGGAACAGCTTAAGGAAACATTTATGATGATCTTACTGACTTCTGGAAGAGGCAGCTCTCTGACAAATTGGTGGGAAGCAGATAAATGTGGTGGATGGCTGTGGGGTAAGCCCACCCAGCACGCTCTCCCTGCTTCTGGTAGGTGGTCCTGGACTTGCCTTTGTGGGCTTGCCTCCCTCCACACCCCGCCCTGTATCCCAGCTCTGGAGCTGGAGGGGTCCAGAGACCACCACTAGCCTGTCAGCATCTTCCATCCCCTTGGCCGCAATGATGGCTGCAGGGTTGTATGCAGACCTGGGAAAATCAAGCCTGATCTCCTCCTAGGACTGCTGGGCAGGGCGGCTGCCTGCACAGGAGTGGCCATAGAGCTGGGCTATAAATCTGGAGTGAGGGGTGACCAACTAACATGTGATGATGGCCTGAGAGGGAAGCTGGCACGAGAAAGACATTATTCTGAGCCCCCCCGAACCTGAGGTCACACCTGCACTTTTCAAGGAGTGGACCTGTAAATCCCTCCACACTTCTCTTCTGCTGAAGCTGGTTGGACTTGCCTTTCTTTGCAGCACTTGAGATCAAAGGAATTCTAACACCATGAACACTTTTCTTTAGTGGTGTACCCAAATTTCTGTGTGAAGAGGGACCTGGGACAGCACTGATAAAACCCTTGGATCTATTGATCTTATCAATGATGGCAAATTTCATTGATTTTCTACTTAGCTATATTCATTGGGACCCAGGTGATCCAAATAGTTTTCAAAGTTGAGTAAGAATTTGACACGTCAAATGAAAGAAAGGCATAGAAATGTTGGCTAACCAGCGTTCATGAAGTCTGAAAGAAATAGTTGAGTGATGTGAAAAACCCATCACATTATTTTTATGGGCCAGGCACATGGTGTGAATGCAAGGCTTTCTGGCAGAGAGGACATCTGTCCTGGGCATGCCAGCTCCATCTACTCTAGTGTCTGGTTCTAGAGAATAGTGATTTTTGAGCCAAGCTGGGACCTGGGACTTGAGAACTTTTGCTGCAGTGATGACAGCTGGACAAACATCTCCTCCAGCAACAAAATATGAAGACACTCTAAGGGACTAAAAATAACTTTGTGCATGTGCCACTGGGGCAAATTATGGACAATAAAATAGACCAAAAAACCCCAACTGCCACTTCTGAAGAGCTGGGAGCAAAGCCAGGGTACTGCACATGCCTCCTGCACTCAACACCACCAAAGGGGTGGGTAAACCACCTAAGCCACCCACCCTCCTGGTCCAAACCCTGGACATACCCCTTCCCTTACCCCATATAAGGAACATGCTCTCCCCACCTTGGGGAGCCACCAAGGGCACCTGTCACTTGTTCTTTCTTCCTCCTGCTGCAGCAGGGGCCCCAATAAAGCCTTGCCTACATTTCCTATCTGGCCTCAGATTAATTTCTATTGACTGGGGAAGGCCAAGGACCCTAGTCAGTGTCAATCTGGCTATTCTATCACAAAAGATGGTAATGGTGAAAGAAGAAAGTGTTATGCGGAGGCTGGTGAACGGATCCATTCTCCAGGGGTGAATGATGGGAACTGAAATAACTTACTTGGGGGCATAAGGATCAAAAATGACATCAAAATCCTCGTCCAGCTCCACGGGGCTTCTTGGTAGAGTGGAGTCCACGCTACGGTAAAACTTGGCAAAGGTTTCGTCATCGTCCGGCTTCATCACCTCTTTCACCGATTTCCCAGTGACAGTGAGGACTGTTTCTTGCATCCCACCAACTATCAACAAACAAGCAAATCAATGACCTGAGATGTATGTAAAAACATGACTTCAACTCTGCTTCACTATCTTAAAAATTATTTTCTTCCCTCTAAGGTCCAGGAGTAGAGCAAACATGACAGTGCTGTCCCAGATTCTGTAGATGCTTCTTGGGCATCAGTTGTCTTCTCAGGAAAGGACTGGACAAAGCCTGCACTGGGAGTGGTAGGGAGATGGAGGCTGAAGTCACTGAGAATTTCTGAACCTGTTCTTTTTGCTCTTGGAGGCAGAACTAGCCTCAACTTTGTTCTAGATCAAGGTTTGGTAACAACTTTTTCTGCAAAGGGCCATGTAGTAAATATTTTAGGCTTTGCATGGGAGGCTATTTGACTTGCGTTGCAAGTTTCATGAAGCTGCGGCTATAGCACAAAATTAACTATCACCAATAAGCTAATGGATGGGCAAGACTGTGTTCCAATAAAACTTTATTTACAAATATAGGTGGGGAGCTAGGTGGTGCTGACCTCTGGGCTAGATACCTGTTACACACAGGTAATAAACCGTGAACTGTTTGTATTCTTTGCCTTGCCAGCTTGGTTATTATATGACACTTTTATATTTCTAGTTTAAAATGGTTGTTTGTATTATTTTCAGCCTATAGGGGTCACTGTCAATAGTAGGTGCTTAGTAATAGCTAAGCTTTAAGTACTGGACATTTTTCTTAAGAGATGAGGCACTTCTGCATGTTATTCTTTAATTTTATATACTTCATAGACTTTTGTATTGAAATCTTTATTTATTCACTAGAATTTTCTTCTAGAAACTATTTGTGACAATCAGATATAATAATAACATGCACTTCTGCATGTTATTCTTTAATTTTATATACTTCATAGACTTTTGTATTGAAATCTTTATTTATTCACTAGAATTTTCTTCTAGAAACTATTTGTGACAATCAGCTGCTACCTTATTGGAAAATGACATATACAACTCAAAGTTCATCAGATCATGTTGATTTCGTGTCATAATCTACTTTCAGGGTTAAAAGCAAAATTACTGAGTCTACAATCCTGATTGGATACATCCCAAGAGTTTAGATCCAGGCACAGATGTGCTATTGGGAGCCACCTACTAAGTACATTATCAAGTGAATCAGAGCTTAGTAATCTAATCAGTGTTGACCAATAAATTAACTTTTAAAATATAACATCAAAGATAATGCTTATAGTACACATTGGTTAAGTCATAATAGAAGACAATTTAGCTGAGGAGAAAAAGCAATCCATATTGAGATTCAGAGATTCTGAAAGTGGGGTAGGTATTTTTAGGTTTCCTGAGCTACCCACTGAAACTTGAGCCACACTGGCCACACACACGTGGACCACAGCTTCCCTCTGGCTCCTGGAATGTACCTTTGTTATTCAGCCTTCTTAGGAAGGTTTCCAGCCTGTCCAACTTGAGGTCCGACTCTAACTGCATGTCTGGTCTGGCTTCTATATCTGGGTAAGTAGAAAACACAGTGAGAGAAGCGCTGAGGGCTCTTCTGGTCACAAACCTCTTGGCACATCAGGGCCCAGTGACTCACCTTCCAGAGGTTTGGAAACTGGTGTAGTGCCCCTTGTTTTGCTGCAAATAGGGGATGCTACCGGGGTGATGGCAGTGGGGGACGCCAGACCTGCAGGGAAAAGAAAAGAGCAACTGAGCATCTCAGGGTCACGTCTGGGAATTCCTGGAACCCTGGGGGACTGCCACGAGCCCCAGTAGAGACCTAACAATTTATAGAGTTTACAGACAGACATGGGACACACACACTTACAGGAAAACTGCCCATAGAGGCAAGGTTTTATTGTTTCTAAGGCCTGCAGCAACTGTCAGTCTGCCATTCCACACTGAACAATGAAGACACATCCCTAACATGCAGATAGGATAAGAGAGTCCAGAAGGTGATTGGAATGTCCTTCAACAAAGGTAATGTTGACTTCTGAAGGCCTTTCGGGCACTGGAGGTAGCTGAAGAGAAAGTGTACAGTTATCCTTTGGTATCTAACAAGGGACTGGTCCCAGGACCTCCTGTGGGTACCAACATCCATGTGGATGCTCAAGTCCCTTATATTAAATGGCATATTTGCATATAATCTATACACATCCTCCTATATCCTCTAAATCATCTCTACATGACTCCTAATACTGAAGACGATGTAAATGCTTTGTAAAGAGTTGGTGTAGCAAATTCAAGTTTTGCTTTTCTGGAATTTTATAGAATTAAAAAAAAAATTTGTTTTTGATTGTGGTTGGTTGGATTTGTGGCTGCAGAACTCAAGAAGGTGGAGGGCCGATTGTTTCTGTACCATCTCTCCAGAGGGAACAGAGACGCGGTTTGTCATGCTGGCCAGCAAGTTCCCCAGCCCTGGAGTCGTCCTCCTGGCTGAGGGGGCGTGGGGACAGTCTGGCCTTTGGGGGGTGTCATCAGAGTGTGATCTACTGGGCAATTACCCAGAGAGTGCTAGGCTTTGTAAGAAAGACACAAGAGTAACAGTTTACACATGTGCGGATGTTGGAAAGTCATTCTGGTCTTGGGTGTGGCTGGGAGCTAGGGACATGCTTTCACCTGCATCTTTTGAGAAGCTGGAAGGGGACTCTCTAAGTGGAGAAATGACAAGAGACACATAGAAAGGGAAGACAAACATTCTAGCATGAAGACGGCATCTGATCAGACAAGAAACCTGAATAAAGACATAGGTGAGTATTTTTCCTAAACTTAGAAGGGATTTGCAAGGGGGGCGGGACAGGTAATCAGTACACTTACAAAGAACAAAATGAGATGTTAACATTCTCTGTATCTATTTGTATTAAAAATGAAACCATTAGGTGACATTGCTACATTATCGCATCCGAGAGACCACATCTGAGAACCACACCCGGAGAATGTGTAAGTCATGATCACTTACAGGGAAAAAACCACCAAGTGAATGGATCTGCTCCCCCCTTCTGCGAGTTGGAGAGGGAGATGTTACACCAGAAAACTTGAAAGGAAAAATACTGAAATGCAGTTTACAACTGAAATTTTAGGTGACATTCCAGAAGCTTCTCTGGTAGCTCAGACGGTTAAAAAGTCTGCCTGCAATGCAGGAGAACCATTGGGTTGGGAAGATCCCCTGGAGAAGGGAAGGCTACCCACTCCAGCATTCTTGCCTGGGGAATCCCATGGACAGAGGAGCCTAGTGGGCTGCAGTCCATGGGGTTGCAAAGAGTCAGACATGACTGAGCAACTAACACTTTCCAGAAGGACTTCTCAACGTGTACATATACTTCCTTACTGATGTCAATAACATTTAAAAAAATTCTTTCATTACAAGACCTGCAAAGAGTTTATATCTGAGTGAAAGTCAATTTTCTTGAAAGATATTAAAAAACAAGTAAAATTTGGTATCAAAGGCTGGGACAGCAGCTCATTACCTGCTAAAAGGATGTGTAAGAGACAGGGGGACATAACATCAGCACAGAGGTTATTCACTCGGAAGCCGATAAACAGGCTTGACAGCAGCCCTTTGTCCAGTTAGGGTGCCCCCTGCTGCCCGTTCAGGCAGCTGCACCCGTGAGCTCTTAAAGGTGCACCCGCTCCTTCCAGCTAGAGACAGGGTTTGTCTGTGATGGGGGCAGGCATATAGATTTAAGTTCCACACTGTTAACTCACTCCGCATAGCTCTGTTCAATGAATTCTATGGACAATAACCAGTCACCTGGTATCTTCGAGAACATTTTACATCTTTTAAAAATCGTTTTTAATTTCTTGCCTGTACTGCACAGCATGTGGGATCTTAGTTCCCTGACCAGCAGTAAAGCCCGTGCCTGCCCCCCGCCCCCAAATCCTGCATTGGAAGCACAGAGTCCTAACCACTGAATTGCCAGGGAAGCCCCTTAGCTCTCTCTTCTTCAAAGGTGCGCTCTGAATATCCTCCTTCCAGGAGAAATCTAGAATACCACAGAAATCTATGGAGTACTCACTGATCTGTGGACTCTACAAATATGAAAAGGGGGACAGCCCCAATGAGGTGAAGGGAGAAAACAGCTTCTGGGTGAGAGAATGAAAATCAGGCTACAGAGGCCTCTTGGCCACTCACTGCTACACTGGCTCCTGATGAGACAGCAAGTCTTGGCTGCAGCGTGGGGACAGTTTCATTCTCGGGCGAGTGTAGTAACCTGGATGTTCCAGCACTGCAAATCCCAAAGAGCCGATGACTCAGGGAAACACACGACTGTGCAGGTGATAACAAACCACAGAAAAGCAGGGGACAGCTTTTTCACTAGATTGAAAGTACAAAAATTTCTTTCTCGAGCAGAGTCATAAAGCATCTGTTAAATAAAAATCCCTGATTTATTCAGGAACATGTGAAAGGAAACTCAGCCACTAAGGGGGGAGGAATGTCCCTGATCCTGTTCTCCATAACTGCCTAAGAGCAAGGCTACTTCCTCTGATATCCCCATGGACAAGGACAGTGGTATCTGGTAGTAAGGACCAGGCTTCAAATACATTATGATTTTTAAGATGAAAGACAAAAAATGAAACCCAAGTAAAAGGTCATCAGGATAAAAGTCTGGGCTAGAAGTTGGAAGATCTAAGCTATGGTTCAAGTTCTCATTGTAGGCCTGAAGAATCTGCTTTTGTTAACATACGGATGGGGGTCATGCAAAGGAGATAGTTCTGTGACTTGCTGACAAAAATCCTCAAATGCTACCTCATTCTGAGAGTAAATTACCTTCTGTTATCCTTTGATAATTCCAAGATTGTTGTTGTTGTTTAGTTGCTAAGTCATGTCCGACTCTTTTGTGACCCCATGGACTGTGCCCCTCAGGCTCCTCTGTCCATGGGATTTTCCAGGCAAGAATACTGGAATGGGTTGCCATTTCCTTCTCCAGGGGATCTTCCCAACCCAGGGACTGAGCCCATGTTTCCTGCATTGGTAGGAGGATTCTTTACCACCGAGCCACCAAGGCTTCCCTAAGTTCCAAGATTAGTTAAGAATAAATTTGTTAGAAAGGATTCTTCCACAAATATTTGGGTTAATCTCAGTTCAAGAGTTTCCTCTCCCTCCCTTCCTTCCCTCTGCAAATACTTATCCCGAGCCTACAATGAAGTAGGCTCTATCTATGACTGAGGATCCCAAAAGGTATTGAGAAAAGAAAACTGCAAACCTACGAAGCAGATGACAATATAAGTTAATTTATTGATTGAGAAAACCTTCACCACTAAGCTGAGAAATTTACTCAAACAATAGCTTAGAAAATGAAGGTATGTGCTTGCATGTGACAAAGGGACCCCAGATTTTAACCACTTCCTATAGGCTATGGAGCTGCAGAGCTTTCTGACAACTTGACGAACCATGTGATTCGTCAGTTTCACAAATCTTTGGCTTCCCACTGAAAATCAGTTTCAAGAGTTCAGCTGCAAAGAAGTGACCTGTCTTCAGGGAAATCTCACTTTCCTGGAAATGGATACATCTTTTAGACATCCAATAAAACATCTCTGGAAACAGGGCTTTGTAGCCAGGGAACTCTGGGTTGATGGAAAGAGACCTGGGAATTACCCTAAAAGGAAGAAGACAAACTTCTGCACTGAGAAAGGCTTATTTGAGTGAACTGATTGCCAGATGGCAAGAAAATGGAAATAATTTTCAAGTGATTACAGGAAAGGACTAGAAGTCTGATAGCAGATCTGCAAAACTGCTTTGATACCTGGGCATTTCCAAATGACTCTTTCGAAATGTCACTAACTGAATCATGCGTCACATTGAAGACGATGCTGTCATAGGGCAAGATTTTCAGTTGGAGTATCTCATAAAATGTGTACACAACTTCAGTTAAGAGTGAAAACCAGAAAAGACCAAGGCTTGGTTTTTTAAAGTGAGCCATCCTACGCCACCCTCCCCTCCGTGGGTGATGGAGCTCACACACAGGTCCACACACGCACACACACACATACACACTCTGACCTCGCTTCACCATCCTGCCAGCCACGGTGAACTGGGTGGAGTCGTTGGCTGCTCCTTTGCCCCTGGTCTTCCAGGCGTCCTCTCTCACGGTGATGAGATGCTTTCTCTCTTCAATAGTCATCTGGCTCTCTCGACTTTCTGTGACCCGCTGTTTGAAGCGTGTACCAGGGAGAAAACGAGAGAGGAAGTCACAGAGGCGTGAACATTAGCAGGGAGCATTTCATGAGCTGGAAAGCAAAGAGGAGTCCTGCGCTGTCCCCTAATGTCCCAGCTGTTCTACCCGAAATAGGTCTGGCTTCCTTATGTCCAGCTTGGGTTACAGACCACCACCACCAACCCTGGAACTTCAGGTCAGAACCTGGTTTTTCACTTGTTTGTTTGGAACACAAGGATATAAAAATGATATTTTGTAAAAAGAAACAGAGAGAGACTGTCTTCCTGCCATGAATCTTACAGAGTTTTCAAGTTGCTCTGTTTCACTTATCTAAACTCAGTTGACTAGCAATGTTTGTTCATCATGCTCAAAGAACACAGTTGGTTGAGAAAATCTTACCTACTAAAGATTTTTATCTACACGGCCAACCATAAAGTAGGGAAAGCTGATTAGGAGGAAGGTGTGTTATTAGAAGGTTTTCTGGAACTCGTGTGCTTTTTCCTACAGCACCTATTGTATATGGGTAGTTAGGCAACCAGGTTAAGCCCACAAAGATGACTTTTAAGTCACAGAATATATGATATTGAGGCTGAACTGTGCTATAGACATAACCTACCTGTATAATAACATTTCTATGTAGAAAAGGTTTACAAATATTTCTCACTGGGGTTCTGGAGACAGTTGCCTCTTTAATGCCTAAGCTCTTGGTGACATTATTTGGTCTTATTTGATCTAAAAGGCAGAAGCTGGAGGATTCTCGAGGGAGACTGAGGAGGATGGGGATGGGCAGGAAGGAGGCTTCAGGAGATGAGTGGTTCTCAGGCTGACAACTGGGGAAGGTCCTCCAGTGTTGGCCCGAGAGTTTCTTTTCCCTCCTTCTTTGCCCATCCCTCCTTTCATGACAAAATCCCTCTAGGGATGGGGGCAGGGCACAGGCAGGGAAGCACGGGGTGGGGTGTCGGGAGGGAAGCTGCCATGGGAGCCAACGTTAAGGAAAGAAAAGCATCGCCAAGGAGCAGAAAGCGCTTCTGCCTCCAGGTCCTTCCTAGGAAAGGGGTCCGAAGGACGGTGACGACCCCCGTTTGTGCTTGCGCTTTAACCTCAGTATCTTCTGAGACCCGAGGAGGCCCCTTCTGCTGGAGCATCTGCTTTCAAACCACAGGTGAGCTCTCCTTAACTACTCCGTGGTCTCCCCAAGCTCCTCTTCCCGTGTAAGGAGTTCTTTCTTAGATAAGAAGTCATCATAGACCAAAATGATCCTCAGGTTTTCCACAGACACAGTGGGAAGACCAAGGAGCCCTGAGGCGGAAATACACCCCTGGGGACTCCATGATACTTTTATTCTCTACTGCTGTCCATTCCACTACGGCAAATCAGCTTCCCTTAACTGACCAATAGGAAACAACCTCCAGATTCACTCAGGAAGGTGACAGAGGTCAGCATCCTTAATCTTTTTAAGGCCCTAGGAGGATGGAGAGATGCAGGGTAATGGGGCAGGGGCGTGGGGAGGCGCTCCTTCCTTTCCAGCCACATAAAAACCAAGTCTGCACTGGTAAGATTCAGTTTAAGCCATGGACATGGATTTCTCTATCACAGAACCTATACATCTTCCTTTTACAGAACTCTCCTACAGAGCAGTCACAGTCAGGACTGATTTTGAGATCACTGGCAATTAAACTAGGTTAAAAATCATCTCCTAAAGAGACATGGTGACTAAATGTAATATATAATCCTGATTGGATCTTTGATGGGATGGAGTGGGGGCTAAAAAAGATATTATTGGGGGGAAATGAACACAGTTGGGATATAGTCTATGGATTAGATAAACAATGTATCAATATAAAATTTCCTCCTCTTGAGGTTATGGGAGTGTTCTACAGTCTAAGGTTCTGTGTCCCCTGCTCCCTACCAGTTCACAAGTGAAACCTAATCCCTAATGTGATACATTAGGAGGTGGGGTTTGGGAAGTGATTAGGTCATGAGGCTAGAGCCCTCAAGAATGAGATTAGTGCCCGATAAAAGAGGCCCCAGAGAGCTCCCTCACCCCTCAGCTACATGAGGACACAGTGAGCAGACAGTGGTCTAAGAACCAGGAAGTGGACCCTCACCAGACACTGAATCTGCCAGCACCTTGACCTTGGACTTCTTACCCTCCAGAACTGAGAGAAATAAATTTCTCTTGTTTATAAGTTACCCAGTTTATGGCCCAATCAATCAATCAATCAATCATTCAATCCAGGAGAAAAGGGTGAAGGGGGACATTGGCAGTGGGGATGGGGGATGAGAGGGGGTAGGGGAGGGAACAAATGCCAACAATTGGTGGGTCTGTTCAAGGGTATAGGAGAGTATCCTGGCTATTATGAGAACATTTCTAAAAGTTTTAAATTTTATCAAGATAAAAAATGATCAAATTAAAAACCCCTTTCCTTAACTTTCCTACTCATGATTGGTAACCTGACCCTGGTTCCAAGTAATTCTCTTAATCACACGCTCTCATAAACTATGAGATGGACTTACTAGGAAAACCTCATCAAAATTTGAAAAAGAGGATAAGTTTTCTTGAAAAATGAAGTTTCAGGAGTGAATTTTAATCAAATCAATATGACACTTGCCTTAAAATATTTTAAAAAATATATAAAATGCCAAGAAAGTTTTCTTTTCCAAACACCCAGACTTTACTATTTATATGGTGAACTCAGTAGAATCTCCCAAGTCCTGTGTGTGGTGGGAGGGGTGGTTATGACTCAGAAAAACAGTGTCCCCAAATCAGCAATTCCATTTCGGATTCTCTTGCAGCTCCTGGGAGAAGGTGATGGATGTGGGCCCTGGGATACACAGATATTCCAGGATTTAAAGTGTCTAGAAGTTTGCCAGATCTATGTTAGGGAGCATGCTTTTCATGTGCCTCTAAATGATATTACTAAACATAAAAGTTTTTGCTTCTCTAGAAGTAAAACCCTTCTTAGCAGGGTTGCTCAAAAGCCCCCTAACTCCCCTTATCTGACCTTAAATGGCTCTATAATGTAACAATAAGTATATATACACACACACACATATATGTATGTATATATGATATATATACCTTATATCTAATATATATCTTGTATATATATTATACATGTGTGTGTATATATCATATATATATAATGAGATATATGCATATGGTTTATTTATTCACTTTAGAAATGAATAAAATGTATCACAAGTTGCTATTAAATTTTAGAACTCAAAATGTGTAAACAGATAACACAGACCTCTTTCTCCATGTACTTTTTTTTTAGCTTAAGACATCATGATTCTCTTATCTTGCTTTTCCCTTCAAAATTTTTTTCCCCTCATTTAGAGAAGGGCATAATTCATAGTAGAGTAAGCACTGTGTCATTTTTCAGATTTTTCTAGGTCTAACTGATGAGATTTAGGATTTGCTGGAAGAGTCAGGGAGTTGGGGCAGAACAGGAATAGAAGCCCTACCCCTTCTAGCCTTTATTCTTTCAAATATGGATCTCATGAGCATGGTATATAAAGAGAAGGGGTAGGGGGCGGGAAGAGGGGGCAGGTAGGGAATGTAATGAAACAGCTAGGAAGAAAGTTGGGTCTTAGGGATGAACAGAGACTTGGTAGGAAACTGTGCAAAGGGTTAATAGAGAACGTTTTCAGGTTACCATGTTGTTACTTGTGGGTTTGTCTCCGTACTCCTCAGAAATTACAGTGCAGATTTCATTAAGTGTTTCTGACACAGGAGGTGATACACAAGAGAGAGAAATAATGTGTGACTAGGATTAGTGTAGCTCTAAGGGTAACCCACTCCAGTATTCTTGCCTGGAGAATCCCATGGACGGAGGAGCCTGGTGGGCTACATTAGTCCATGGGGTCGCAAAGAGTCGGACACAACTGAGAGACTTCACTTTTCACTTTAAGGGTAAGATTCTTCTACAAGTGGAGAGCTTTGTAGATAGAAAATATTGTGATCTGGCTTTTAAATTTTTATCTTACTCACCTTGAGTGAAACTACATCACAGGAAGAAAGCATAAAAGCATGTGTTTAGTGAAAGAAATAACATACAGCAACAAATCAGCATCCTCAGTTTTCAAAAATGCTGTCATCTTTCAAATCCTATGCACTGTTAAGGAAATTCAGCTTTGCCACCTCCTTAAATGATTTCTATCCATCACCAGGGCCCGGAGCCTCAAGTGGCCTGGACAAAACATGGGAAAAGATCTCAACTAGGTTTGCATTTCAAAGTGACCATAATTTGGTCTTGTCACCATTTACAAGCAACTAAGATGAAACGAGGGGTCCCAGGGGGCTCAGTGGTAAAGAATCTGCCTGGCAAGCAGGAGATGCAGGTTCGATCCCTGAGTTGGGAAGACCCCCTGGAGAAGGAAATGGCAACCCATTCCAGTATTCTTTCTGGGAGAATCCCATGGACAGAGGAGCCTGGCAGATTACAGTCCATGCAGTTGCAAACAGTTGGACATGACTTAGCAACTAGAGAACAACAACAAGATGGAAGGAAGGGAACAAAGGGAAATCTTACTTTGCTATAGCCCTGAGGCAAGCGGAGGAAGAAGAAAACACGTCAAGACACTTTTACACGACTATTAGAACGGCCAAAATTCAAACCACTAATGCCACCAAATGCTGGTGAGGATGTGGGGCAATAAGAACACTTATTCATTGCTGGTAGGAATGCAAAATGGTCCAGCCACTTTCAAAGATAGTTTGGCACTTCCTTACAAAACCAAGCTTACTCTTACCATATAATTCAGCAATCATGCTCTTTGATATCCAAACAAGTTGAAAAATTATGTCCACACAAAAACCTGCAATGGATGTTTATAACAGCTTTACTCGTAATTGCCAAAAGCTTGGAAGCAACCAAGATGACCTTCAGTAAGCAAATGGATAAGTAAACTGATCCAGCCAGACAAGGACTACTATTCAGTGGTAAAAAGAAATGAGCTATCAAGCCATGAAAATACACAGGGGAACCTTAAATGCATATTACTGAATGCAACAAGCCAATCTGAAAAGGCAACACCTTGTATGATTCCATTCATCGGACATTCTGGAAAAGACAAAAACTATAGTAAAGAGATCAGTTTCCTGGGAGGGGAGGAGAGGAGGAGGGAGGGATGAGCAGGCAGAGCACAGAGGCGTTTTGGGGCAGTGGAAGGACTGTACGATACCACAATGATGGATACGTGTCATTACACACTTGTCAAAATCTTAGCATGTACAGTGCCAAGAGAGAGCCCAACCATCAATTATGGACACTGAGGGATAACAGCTTGTCAACTGAAACAAATATGCCATCTAGTGGGGGATGTTGATAGTTGGGGAGGCTGTGGGAGGGGTAGCGGGAAGCAGGAGGTGTGAGAGAAATCTCCATACTTTCTGCTTAATTTTGCTGTGAACCTCAAACTACTCTAAAGAAATAAAGTCTATAAAAAAGTATACTACAAATACATATAACATGTGTATTATGTAAATATGTGTGAGTGGTGCGTTCCAAGTCACTTCAGTCATGTCCAACTCTTTGTGACTCTATGGACTGTAGGTTGCCAAGCTCTTCTGTCAAGGGGACTCTCTAGACAAGAAGGAAAGTGAAAGTCGCATGGCTCAGTCTGTCGGACTCTTTGCGACCTCAGGCAAGAATACTGGAGTGGGTTGCCATGCCTTCCTCCGGGGATCTTCCCCACCCAGGGATCAAACCCCAGGCTCCTGCATTGCAGGCAGAGTCTTTACTGCTAAGCCACCATGGAAGCCCATTATGTAAGTGTACATAGTTTATATTTAAAGACTTCAATAAGGGTGGTGGAGGGAAGGACTGGGAGTGTGGAATTAGCAGATATAAACTAGTATCTACAGGACAGATAAACAACATGGATCTACTGTATAGCTCAGGGAACTATATTCAATGCCTTGTGATGAACCATCATGGAAAGGAATGTTAAAAAAAAGAATAATGTAAAAATGAAAGACTTTAATAATATATCTTTTCTTTTAAGTTTAACATTGACATGACTACCCTGGTGGTCTAGTGGTTAAGAACTTGCCTTGCAATGCAGGGATGTGGGTCTGATCTCTAGTCGGGGAACTAAGATCCCACAAGCCAGGGAGTAACTAAGCCCAGAAGTCAGAACAAGAGAATCTGTGTGCAGAGCAACGAAGTCCGTGCGCCACAACTAGAGTCCATGGACCTCAATGAAAGATCCTGCATGATGCAATTAAGACCTGAGACAGCCAAATAAACAAATAAATACTAAAAAAAATAAAGTTTAACATCAACTTATTTCCCCCCTTAGTGACGGAACAGCAGGTTTGCTCCAGAGTAAACCCTCGTTTTTGAAGTGGACACCGGCTGGTTATGCAGGGCTAGGTTGCTATAGACCTTTATTCCTAAATTCAAAGGAAAGGAGTTAAGGCAAGTGTGAGAAAAGCCTCCTTTGGGAGAAGAAACGGGGCGTTTCCATTTATGAAAATGCCAAATGAAGCAGGAGGACCCTGCAGACCCTCCCTCTGGCTGAAATCCTGTGCCTCTCCCTCAAAGACCAGTTTGTCACCGCTAGTCCTAAAGGGACAGAACAGTCATGACCTTTCCAGTTACAGGCCACCTGACCGGGTGTGGTCCCTGAGCTGATGAGACAGAGGCCCTAAGATGGGAGTGACCGGCCAAGTCCCACAGACGGAGGGCACCCAGCACCTGGGGCTCGTCGAGGCAAAGGGGATGCCACCACTTCTAACAATTTTGACCCCAGGGACATTCCAAGGGGAATAAAAACCAACTGTCGGTATTTCTAGCTTTAAATATCACTGCATATTAGGCACTAACAGAATTCCTCAGCCCAGGCTAGGTCTCCCTTCTGGTAGAGCTCAGACAGGGTGCAGCAAGGAGGAAGGTGGGGAAGCAGGACTGTGGTTTCCATGCCAACAGTGCCACGGCAGCCAGCTCGCATCAGGACCACGGCTTCCACCTTGTCTCTTCCATGCCCCCGAGTGCTTCCATCACCTCCTCCTATTTGATCAAGGTAAGCAAGATAATCTGTCTCGTGAACTGGAGCCAGGAACACCCTGGGCTCCTGACTCAATTTAGAATATTAACTTACAGGATTATGTGGCAGTCTGAAATGGAGGGGACCCTGGGGGAGAATGGATACATGTATATGTATGGGTGAGTCGCTCTGTTATGCACCTGAAACTATCACAACATTGTTAATCAGCTATACTCTAATATAAAATGAAAAGTAAAAAAAAAAAAAACCCACAACATAGATTAAAGGGGAAAGTTTCCTCTTCAACCAGTTTCATGATTATGAGATGAATTAATACCATAAGTCTCCCTAGAGGTCTGAGCTGAGGTTGTGACATGTATGCGTGCTCAGTCATGTCTGACTCTTTACAACCCATGGACTGTAGCCTGCCAGGCTCCTCTGTCCATGGGATTCTCCAGGCAAGACTAGAGTGGGTTGCTATGCCCTCTGGGTGACTGATCCTAAATATATGAAGTAATTACATTTATACACACACACACACACACACACACACACAGAAATGCAGCAAAGGAGTTACTTTCCCAAATGAAATAAGTTTCTCCCTGCCGCTCAGAAATTGCAATGAGGCTTAATACATGTAGGCTTTTCCTCACCTGATTAATAGATACAAAAGACAGGTATTTATGGGCAGCAGGTAGAGCAGGAGAATAAGTAGAAGCGTATACAGGTTCCTATAGAGCAAAGCAAGAGGATTAGAGGTGGAAAAAGACGATTTATCAGAGCGGGGCGGAGGAGGGGAAGGACAAAAACAAGGCTTTCTCTCACAGAAAGTTAATTTACTCATTGCAATTTCAACTCTCTTCCCAAGAGAGTCCTTCCTACTTGTTTTATTTCAGAATGCTAACAGAAATTCCCACACAAGCACAGTAAATATAACCAAATCAATTCTGTGCAGTACCTGAGTTATTGGCATGATGACTGCAATTTACAGAAGATATTCAGACAGGGGATCCCTGACTTTCATGGACCATTTTAACATTGAATATAAACTATCTTCTTTAAAGCCTTTCACGTTTTCTCCATGATTGTAACAAAATTTCACGATTTTTTGATGACGGCCGTTCTGACCGGCGTGAGATAGCTAATGGGAAGCTGCTGTGTAACACACGGGGCTCAACCCAGTGCTCTGTGATGACCTAGAGGGGGCTCTAGGTGACCTAGAGGGTCACAGGGGGCTCTGTGACGACCGAGAGGGGTGGGATGGCGAGGTGGGGCAGGAGGGAGGCTCAAGGCAGGGGGGACGTATGTATACTCATGGCTGATTCCTGTCGTCGTATGGCAGAAACCAACCCAATATTGTAAAGCAATTATCCTCCAATTAAAAATGAAATTAAAAAAAGGGCGGGACACAGGATAGCTTTCCATGCTGGACAGAAGTGACATGTCCCCTCGGGTTAAGAAAACCAAGCAGAGAGGGGTACCCAGGGGAACCGTCTAGGATGAGAGCTACACGTGGCGAGGAGACCTGTGTTAGAGTCAGGCTTACCCAAAGCAGATTAGAAATGTCATTATCATCTGTAAATCCTCCTTCTTCCTACAGGTTAAAACAAATAGGAGACGTTGCAGAGTGTCGGAAGAGTAGGTTCAAGGTTACGGGGTCACAAGCATTTTCCAGAACTCTGTGCTGGGTTCCAGTAGAAGCATGCACATGCCCACACAGTCGGGTGGCACAAACACCAAGTGAGCTCATCTCCCATCTGAGGGGTGATTATCTGTAATTTGGGGGTCAGACCAACAGCCCTCCTCACCCTCCTACCCTTTGTCCTTCAATTGACCACATGCTCTTGAATCGTCATTTGGAATTTCAACAGCACAGGCAATTAGAACACAAATGTGGCAGACTGACCTACCTAGAATTTTCAAGGACTTGTTCTGAGGACAGCACAGAGCTTAGCCTGATTCACTGACTTGATACTTGGATGGAAGCACAGCCAGATATCAAATCCTAACCTGTGGCTCAGATACAGGTGGGGGGTAGTAACCACAAATGCTATAAAAGGTTCTGACTTCCTGGGAAAAGCCTACAACTTTGGATGGTTATCTTGATCAAAGGGCCTGGGAGTCACTGTCTCTGCCTAAATATCAAAAAACAGGCCAAAATGGGGTTGGAATTTTAAATAATGATTTGGGGAAAATACATAACTGCAATTTAGGTGAAACAAAGACACTTCTGCCAAATCCCTTTTCTTTCAAACTTTGCCTTGTTTCACTTCTCTCCCTCTCGGGATGGGAGGAGTGGCTCTGAAGGGATCATGTTCCTGGTGCTGTCAGCCCGGCCAAACCTATAAACCATGGTCTTTGCCATCTTCAGAACTAATTCTGTACGCTACAAAAGCAAAGATGTATACGTCAGGTTAGCATTGCCCTAGACTAAACCAAGCACAAGAGGAAGGAAAGAGGGACAGCAAGAGAAAGAACCCAAGCTATTTGTTGTAGGAAATGACAGGGGCAGCAGGGTAAATAGCACTCTTAAGTTCCAAACCATCCATCCTAATTTTAGGGGGTTAAGTTTGGAAAGTAAGGAAGTGATGTTAAGTTACATGGTCTCTTGAGACATGATTGATCTTTTTGTAGGGAAAGTAAAACACTAACTTATTCCCCAAATTGATTTATGGACCAAAAGAATACATTTTTTTAAACCTTACAGGACCCCAAATGAGATGCTAGTTAGAGCACCAAAATTTTGTTTTGGAACAAACCATTCGACAGAAAGAAAAACAATTTAGGATTTTCAAGGCATCCTTCATATCTTTTTTAATGTGGTTACACAACAATCTCTAATTACTCATGGGCTCACATTATATTTTTATTGGATGGCACGGATGTTCACAAGGGAAGCGATTTATATAAAGGCCCATCTCCATTTCCTGCCTCCTTTGCTTCTCCACAGGTTGTAACTCATGGGACCCTGCTTAGCATACACAGTAAAAGCTCGAGGAGGCCAAACCGTAAAATGTTTGGTAACCATGAATATGTGCCTTCAATGAATTCAGAAATGGTGCAGGAAGTGATGACCTGACAGTAAATCCAGTCCCTTTTCCCTTGGTGGAAAAGACGGAAGGTTCCAGAGCTTGTGCCCCTAGCAAGTCTGGGGCCAGGCAGCAAGATCCTAACTGCATGGAGCATGTGTCATGAATGTCCTTCCTTCTGCAGAGAAGCATTCAGATACCCAGCAAACCTTGGCCATGTCTCAAGCTCCCCTGACCACCTTCCAGCTGCCCCAGGGACTGTCTTAAGGCAGATCACGTTCAAGGCAACTCTTCTACCACATCTGAGCATGGCTAAGGTGTGGCTGAAATACACAGCCAGCCCTTGGGAAGACATGAAACCGAGGGCACTTCAGAGGCCATGGGAAAACCACATGACCTCAAGAGAATCTACGATTTCCCGATGCCTGCTACAGAAGCCCAAAATAGATGGGCTTATTTTAACTTCAAAGATCTTATTGTCTTGGGCCAAAATGAACTAGGTTAGGAGTAGGAGAGCAATGATGAGTTCACTGCTGGTGCAGAACCCCTGAGCCCAGGACAGCACTTCCCACTCAAGCCATGGCTGCTGTGGGCAGGGTTTACCACCCCAGGGGCAACTGCAGCTACCTTCTCCCATCTCTTGCCTCCTGAGAATCTCAGTCTATGTTAAGGCTGTTCTGATCTCATCTACTATTCTGAGCCTTCTGGTCTACCCAGCTTATGCTGATCCCTGTCCCCTAAGTGCAAAGTGTTGAGATTGATTCTACTATTTGTAAGAAATCTACCTGGCTTTGTACTTTGTAGCCATCCTTTTTACCATGCCATGGAGGACCTGCTTGGGGAAATTTCTTTGCATCTTTCAACATGACCAAGAGTTAAGTACTAAAGTTACCTGGGAACCAATACTTTCAAATCAAACTTTTACATAAAGTTTGTGGGCAATGGCAGTCAGTCATTGGAGGGACCCAGTTTTCTTTCACTTTTGGATCTCATTCTGGAAATACAGATTTCCTATGTAGGCTCTTTAATATCTAGTCATATTTGAGAGATTTGCAAATGGCTGAGTGTTAACTGTCTTTAGTGATTATCTTTAAAGTCATGTTTGACTCAAAAGAGAGAATTCAAATTGCTCTTTCAATTTAACCTAGGAAAACACAGAAGAGCCATAGGAAATAGTGTCAGAACTCTGTCCTCATGGCTCCATGAACACACCTCCTTCTTATGTACGCTTCTGAGTGCCTCAAGGTCATGTTCATCACTTCTCTCTTCCATGGAGGCTAATTACATTGTTTTAGAGCTGGAAGGGGTCTAGGTGATCATCTGGTTGGAAGTATTTTTCCTTTCTGTTTGAAGACCTGTGATCCTAGCAGTTGGCCAGTGGTGTGGCCCAGCGCCCATAATGCCCGCAGTCAGCAGGTGCATTTGCCATCACAGGGCCAGGCAGCAGGAAATCACTGTTCACTTTGAAAGTGTGCACTGATTGGTCAAAAGCTGGTCATTATGACTAGTCATTTAACAACTCATTGGTACATTTGCATATGAAATGCTTGCCCAGATTGACAACAGTGTGTTACTGAATTTTCTTGAAGCTTATAACATACTTTGCTATACTCTCAATAAAAGGCTTACCTGATCATCATGGAACATGACTTCTGTGACATGTCCTCACCGACCACAATTGTGTCCTCTTGTATATATATATGTTTTAAATCTAGGCCTAGGACATTCAAACCCATATTCTATATGCAACTAATAAACGGTTAGCAGTCAATGAGGTTTTCATTCTAAAGGCTTTAATAAGGTGACTTCCTGGCAGTCCAGTGTTTAGGGTTCCATGCTTCCACTGCAGGGTACACAGGTTCAATCCCTGGTTGTCAGAGAATTAATATCCTGCATACTGTGCAGTGTGATCAAAATATATACATATACACACACACCTATATCTATAGCTACATATATAGATGTCAGTTCAGTTCAGTTCAGTTGCTCAGTTGTGTTGGACTCTGCAACCCCATGGACTGCAGTATGTCTCTACAGATATAGGTATATAGATATAAAAGGGTTTAATAACACTGTAAAATCAGATTTCATTTTAGAAGATTTGAAACAGATAAAAGTGCACACTTTCAAATATAGGAACCTGTCTGCTGATGCATTAGGTATGTGGCACTGTTCCCAATTCTAGGATGTCCCAAGACTTCAGCTGCTGATTAATTGAAGCTGCTGTGGGCAGACTATAGGTGTGGACCCTAGTAGCAAGAAAGAGCTGATGCTTCCCAGGGTAGTAACTGGTTAAGCTATGCATGCTTGCCTGGTGGATGCACATCCAAGCGTGATGTTAGTTAGAATGCTTTTTCCGAGCACAGACAACGTTACCTTCTTCTTGAGTGACTGCTCCGTTTCTTGGATGTGCAGGCTGCTGGTGATGGAGGCTTTGCCATATTCCTGCTTTCTGTTGAGTCTATTTCTCCAGTCTTCCTCACCGCTCTTCTTCAACAGTGCTAATCTAAGAAGAAGACAGGCCAACCCAAAAGTTCAACACCAATCCTTCCTTGGAAAAGAACCACCATTTAAGTAAGTTAGTCACAAGTAAGAAATGACCACAGCTGCCTAATTTGAATCTTTCTGAATGGCATTTATTTGGAAGAAAGTATGTCTGGAAAACTAATATAATTATGTAGAGTATTATATTTTCTAAGATGGTCCCAAAGGTTTGAAAGTTTGATGGAAAAGCTAAGTCTGAAGCCTGACTTCCCAGATAAAAGATGGAACATCATTTTACCAGAGGAATATCTCTGTTTTTGCCTTGCCTTTGGGCTGAGGGCACAAAGAAAAATAAAAATGTTCCCAGAGAAAAATGTCTTCTAGTGACCCCTCTGGTCACATGAGGAATTAACATGTAATGCCAAAGGTGGATGGTTCTTATTTGCAGAAAATACAGCAGAAATGAGTTTAACAATTTAAAGCAACAGAATATAGACAATCTCTGGATATCATGCGTTTATAATTACAGGTAAAAGCTGATGTTTAAGGATGTTTCTGTTCTTGAATTCTAAGTCATGCTATTTTCTTCCAAATGAACTTGGTCTTTCCAATCCATCTTCTTAATACAGAAACTTCTCTAGAAACCCATTTTTAAAATGATCATTCCAATTTTCCTCTGGAGATAGCTATATACAAAAAAAGAATCTAATTAACTCAGGTCTTTATCTAACCTACTTTAGGTCAACTATGGTGTGACTTGAAAAAAAGCTGCTTGGATGTGAAAATTTGTGAAAGGTTATTCTCATGAACACAGGCTGTTTCAGTCTTGGACATTTAAGTTGGACAAACACAGGAAAGATAAAAGGCACAAAAGTGGTGATCATTAAAGTCATTTGAGCTGGTGCTCAAACAATTTAAAGATTAGGGGGAAAAAATTGACTGGACCCTTTCCCTTGCAGCTGGGTCTGCTGGGCTGGGTCTTTTAAACACTCATTAATACATGTCCATGAAGAGAGTACTTTTAAGCAACGTATAAGCCCTGTTTTGGCTGTTAAGTCCTGTCAAGTCCCTTCCTTACTGGTCACAATGGAGACTGAACTAGATGGTCTCTAAGGGCCCTTAGACCAAGTGTCCTGACTCCATTAAATAATGGAATTGGAGATGGGATGAAACATACCACACTCCTCATGGAGATACAGAGAAGGCAATGGCACCCCACTCCAGTACTCTCGCCTGGAAAATCCCATGGACGGAGGAGCCTGGTAGGCTGCAGTCCATGGGGTCCTAGGAGTCGGACACAACTGAGCGACTTTACTTTCACTTTTCCTTTCATGGAATTGGGTCATTGGAGTGAGGATAAGCCTAGAGTCTGTCACACAGAGTGAAGTAAATTAGAATGAGAAAACTAATATTAACACATACATGTGGAATCTGAAAAAACTGGTATAGATGATCTTATTTACAGAGCAGAAAGAGAGACAGATGTAGAGAACCAATGTGTGGATACCAAGGGGGAACGGGGGGTGGGGTGAACTGGGAGACTGGTGTTGACATGTATACACCATTGATATTATGTAAAAAATATATAACTAGTAAGAACCAACTGGAGATCACAAGGAGCTCTACTAAATGCTCTGTGGTGACCTAAATGGAAAGGAAATCCAATAAAAAGGGGATACGTGTATATGTAGAGCTGATTCACTCTGTTGTATAGCAGAAAGGAACACAACATTGTAAAACAACTACATTGTTTTACGCTAAGTCATGTCTGACTCTCTGAGGCCCCATGGGCTGCAGCATGCCAGGCTTTCCCTGTCCTTCACTATCTCCCAGAGTTTGCTTAAATTCATGTCCATTGAGTCGGTGATGTCATCCAACCATCTCTTGCCCCCATCTCCTCCTGCCCTCAATCTCTCCCGGCATGAGGGTCTTTTCCAATGCAATTATACCCCAATAAAATTTTTTTTTAAAAATTGAAGGAGAGGTATATCACACTGTACAATAAAAGTTTAGTTAAGCAAATAAGAAAACAAGTTTTACATCAACCCATGTACATCTACAAATTCATGTATAACCACATTGTATACTTGTCTATTGGTTCAGTCAAATAAGGAAGGTAAGCCAGGAATACTTTCCAAAGGGGGCAAGAGCTTCAAACTCTGGACCTTCCCCCTCATCCAACCTCTTCCTCTTCCTCTTCCTTCCCTTCCTTTCTCTCTATGTGACTGCAGACAAGACCCAAATGTCTACTCTACGAAACTATCATTTATCTGTGATATTGTAATTTATAATATACACTTGTCATTGTCCTCTTTGTAGGTACAGAGCTCCCACAACTTTTGGAATTTCCTAAATGATGAGAGTGATAAATGTGTCAACTTATATGAATGAGATGACCTTTAGAAGCATGTATGTGGGGATGTGTTGCTGGGAGAACCAAACATGTGATTTACACTTGGAACTTTTAGTCCCACCCCCTGACCTCCAGGAAGGAGAAAAGGGCTGGAGAGTAATTAAGTCCCTGGCCATTGGTGACTCAACTCAATCATGTCTATGTAATAAAGCCTCCACAAAAAGGCCAAAAGGACAAGGTTCCAAGAGTTCTTGGTTTGGTGGACACGTGGAGGTTTGGGGAGGGTAGCACACCCAGGGAGAGCATGAAACTCCACACCCTTTCCTCACAGCTTGCACTGTCCATCTCTGCTCGCTGGCTGTTCCTTATACTGTTTTTTAAAAAGTTATTTATTTTTGGCTGTGCTGGGTCTCTGTTGCTGCTTGGGGGCTTTCTCTGGTTGCAGTGAGCAGGGTCTACTCTCTGTTTGCAGGGCATGGGCTTCTCACTGCGGTGGTTCCTCTCGTTGCAGAGCACAGGCTCTAGGCATGCAGGCTCCAAGAGCTGCAGCACCTGGGCTCAGCAGTCACGGCTCTCGGGCTCGAGAGCTCAGGCTCAGTCGTGGTGGTGCACGGGCTTAGCTGCTCCATAACATGTGGGATCTTCCTGGATCAGGATCGTGTCCCCTGCACTGGCAGGCGGATTCTTATCCATGGTACCACCAGGGAAGTCCTACATTCTTCTACAAAAACTTGAGGTCTACTAAATTAGAGTATTTCTCTGAGTTCTGTGAGCCACTCTAGTAAGTGATTGAATCCAAGGAGAAGGATGTTGGAACCTCCAGTCTATATCTGGGTAATGGGCTGGGAGCACAGATAAGGGCCTGGAGTTACAACAGGTGTCTGAAGAAGGAGGGAGGGACTGTCTTGCAGGACCCAAGCCCTTACCCTCTGGTCTGAGCCTATCTCCAGGTAGACAGTGTCAAAATTGGGTGGAATTGTAGGACACTCAGCTGGTATCAGACAACTACTCAGTGGTGGGGGGGAAATCCACTTGGAAATCAGAGTCAGAATCTTGTATCTAAGTCAGGCCCCGTGCTGTGCTGGGCTGAGTCCCTCAGTCATGCCTGACTCTTTGCGCCTTACGTGCTCTCATTTAGCCCCAGATTCTATCATCTGTGATGCTTGGCAGTACTCTGCCTTCTACAAGGGCTAGTTCATGTACTTGAAAAGAGATTCTAAATTCCCTTAAGGGTTTCCACCTGAAGGTCAGACTATATACGGGCAAAGAATGATCTTTCCTCCAATTATTCTGAAATGAGTCAGTTTTCTTCTAATAGGAAAAATAATTGAGTAAAATCAAATCACGATAAGAAATCAAGGGCATGTGCATATTGCAATAGAGCCTTCAAAGTGTCTATAAAGAAGACTTCCCAAAAGTAAGCATGCCAGCACTTTCACACCCACACAAAGATGTATTTCTAATTCATCATCTTGTGAACACAGACATTTGCTTCATTGATATTCACCTTACAGTTCAGAACCAGCTCTCTTACCTCACCCTTGACCCACCAGTAGTTATTCATCTTGGCTACCTTACCTTTCAAATCAGATTAGAGTCCAAGTGATTTCAGAGAAATTTAAAAAAAATGCAGCCTCAGAAGTTGGGTTTATGATGTACTCTGGGTCTTTAAAGACATTCTCAAAAATAAGATCCCAAATATCTGAAGCAATGGCAACATCATCTAAAGAATCATACCCTTTCCTCACACCTCGCACTGTGCACCTCTCCTAGCTGGCTCTTCCTTGGTTATAGTCTTTTCTAACTAATTAATTTCTTTTCAGTTGTGCAGGGTCTTTGTTGCTGTGTGAGGGCTTTCTCTAGTTGCGGTGAGTGGGGGCTACTCTCTAGTTGCAATGCACAGACTTCTCATTGTGGTGGCTTCTCTTGCTGGTTACCTTGGTGGCTGCTTTGGGAATGGAGAACTGATTTAGAAAAAGGCAAAGCGTGGATCTTTCATCACTCTGTGGTCCACCATGTATTCTGCTAACATGCCCCACGACCTCTAGAGACCAGATATCGTTACCCTGAATGAGGCAAGGACGCTCACACAGGCCAAGGATGTCATTCACTCAGGTCACCCTGCATGTCATGGGGGCAGAGAGCTATGGTTCCATCCCGGGCATATCCTGCCTGCCATCCTAGGGCATGGCTTGTTTCAGTACTTGTGTGTGAGCTCACCAGGCATGTTTTCACTTTCATGTGTTAGAAACTGCATTGTGTATATATATATATATATATTTTTAAATATATATATACATATTTATATATTTTCCCTGCTGGGATGGCCTTCAAAGAATTGCTCCCTTCCAAGAACTTGAAAACTTGCTTCTGGATGTGTGGCAGGGTCATCCTCAGGATGACCTTTGGAAGTCTCACTTCCAAAGACTACAGTGTGACCAAAATAATATGGAAGGAAGTGAGCCTCGCTTGAGCCCTGGTGCTGAAGCCAGCCCGAGCCTGTAGGGTGCGGGTAATGGGAAACCTGAAATTAACACACACTGAAACACACATGTATTATTCCCGTCCCTCTAGATTTCCTACTTGGTGTTGAAAAAGCTCAGGAAGGTGGGGGACCTTTCCAAACGCCTTCTCTCCTGCAGTTTCACAACCCTCCTGACTCCCTGAAG